GAGGGTGCTCTAATCTCGATGCCTGCCCTGCGGACTCGGGTTGAAGACATACTTACCTACTGTTGATGGACAAAATCCAGCATTACCCCAAGGACCCTAAACTATGGGAATTATAGTATATTCCTTCTTATAGGTAATGCAGGATTTTGTCCATCAGCCGTAGTTCGAAAAAGGTGCTTGGATACTGACTTATGTATGCAAGAGCACGACTACTACACTAAAGCCTAAGCCTGGAAATCTAGAACTTCTCAAATAGCTCGCCTCGAGCCAAAAATGCTCCACTAAAATCCCCAAGTGTAGGGAAGTGTAGGGTAATATAGAGACACTGATACACAGAGCTGGGTTTATTTAATGTAGCGGTTGTGATGAGGTTTCTACAATACATGGGCTTCAACAACAGCATGGACTGTGGGAGTATGTGGTAGCATAGTTGCAGATATTTTGAGGAAAGGACCCTAAGCTAATCTCGAAGGAGTCCACCCTGCCTTGCTTCTTCGTGGCTTTTGGGTTGTGGGATTGGTGTTGCTTAAAATCTGGAGCTTCATTTTTGCCTCGGACGAAATGTACTACAACACCCTGAAGCCTACAGAAATTCTCCTTGGAGCCTGAAACCCCAAATGCGCTAGCCGTTCTTGAGGCTTTAAGGTTGTTGCGCGGAGTTTGCATCTGCGGGGTTTCTGTACGGGGCAGCATTATGGCAGCCTGCAAGAAGAAGCTTGCTGGAAAGGGGCCAACGGAAGTGAGCGACGACCACCACGAACACTACCAAGACAGACGAAGCTACTGTGGTTGTTGCTGCGATTGCTTCGACTACTCCGGCTGTTCCTGCGATTACTACTACCCCATTTCTGTTGCTGTCGGTCTTGATTCCGATCGCCGACCACGACGATGATTTCCGCGACCACGACTACGACGACCACGAGGACTTCTGCAGCACTTGTTGCTGCTGCGACGACGGCAAGTCGGCTACTTCTGTTCCTACGGCCTCCACGACACTACCGGGTCTACTGTTTCTCTGCCGCTGAACTTATCATCACTGTGCAGCCGGCATCTATGTTGTAACGACATGCACGGATCGACAGGTGTGGCTGTCCATTCTGGCCGCAAGCTGTTGTCACCAGGAGGGCCCCGTTCCAGATGGAAAAGGATAGTCTCGTTGCAGGTGTGTACAAAGTCTCTACAGCATGATGGAGCAATCTTATATTGGAGGTTAAAAAGCGGACTCGTCACGTTTTCCGAGTGGCTTAGGAGCTCATAGGGCTTAGAAAGACGGCGGCCTTTCACTGGTCCTGGAACTGCAACTCTAAGCGTCTAAGCCCTGAGCAACGGTATGAAGACAACGGCTTCGGCTAGGAGGGCCAGTTGAATCCATAAGCACACGCTCCTCTCTGCGAACGTGCACCCTTATGAACCCTTCCATTTAGATGTGGGCAACCGCAAAGCTCAAGATTAGATTCTAGAATTCTAAATGCCAAGAACTCCCGCGACTCCAGCTGATGACTTGTTCTGGGTTCGGCTTCCTTGTACGGACCAATAGTTGCTGTGAGCAACAGGACACGTAAGTTCGAACCCTAGATCCTAAATCCATAAACGAAACCCTCCTCCATAAACCCTAAACCTAAAGCCCTAAACCCTATGTAAAACCTAAAGCCCTAAACCCTATGTAAAACCTAAAGCCCTAAGTCCCGTACCCTTGCCCTGACTCTGATCTTCGAAGCCTTGCTGAGCTCCTAATGTTCAACTCCGGGTGTCCGCCATGTGCCCGGCAAATTTTTCCATCTCCTGGATGGCAGCTTTCATGAAGGGCCTGCAGGGGGTTGTAGGGAAGGGATTTAGAGTTTAGGGCTTTAAGGATTTAGGTCTGCTGGTTGATCTAAGGCAGCTTAGGATTTAGGGTTCAGGCTTTAGGGGTTTAGGGCCTTAGGGATGTAGGGTTTAGGCTTTAGGGCTTTAGGGATGTAGGGTTTAGGGATCTGGGGTTTAGGCTTCTGGTGTACGCACAGAATCGACCATCCCTTGACGTTGACGAAGAGATCATGTAGAGGCCCTACTGATTAGCATGGGGCTTGGAGGGTATGTCACAGTTTGCATGTGTGTATGTATATATATATATATGTATCTACATCTACACATGCACACACACAAGTATGTGTATATATATATATACACATGTATACTCTTTTATACATACTATAAATGAATGCAAAGATATATATTTGCCGATTTTTGAAATCGTACATTGCCCTTGTAACTTGCTTGCATATTCCACAATCCTCGCCATGGAGCTGGTTACCCAACAAACGGAACTACACTGGGGACGATACGTGTAAATGCCCGCCGGGTTTGGGTTCAGCGTCTATGTGTTAGGGGCATGGGTTCAGGATTCTGTCACAGTATGGCTGCTCCTAAGCTATGGGGTTCCACCCCTGAAGTTGTGGGAATTGCAAGGGGCTTAAGGGTCGAAGGCCTTAGGGTGTTAGGGCTTTCGGGTTCTAGGGTTTACGGTTGGGCTTCAGGGTTTAGGGTGTCAGGTTTGGGTCTTGGGGGTTAGGGTTTGGGATTCTACTGGGAGGACTTATGGCGTCCTTTATGGTAGTAGTAGTAGTAGTAGTAGTAGTAGTAGTAGTAGCAGCAGTAGTAGTAGTAGTAGTAGTGGTAGTGGTAGTGGTAGTGGCAGTGGCAGTGGCAGTGGCAGTGGCAGTGGCAGTGGGAGTGGTAGTGGTAGTGGTAGTGGTAGTGGTAGTGGCAGTGGCAGCAGCAGCAGCAGCAGGAGTAGTAGTAGTAGTAGTAGCAGCAGCAGCAACAGCACTAGTAGTAGTAGTCCTGCTAGCACTATGATGGCCATTGCGTCGCTGATTTAACGGACGGTGATCGTATGTATGAGTCTTGGCCTTCGTCCGACGTTCTCGCCACCCGATGAAAAGCAGGTCGACACCATAACCCCAAACCCTCAACCCTAAACCCTAACCCACATTCACAAATGGCAGGGCTACCCACCCTTGCCCACATCCTGGGCGCTAACCCGCCACCGATTTGGGGTTCAGTCGAGAAGCCCCAGCCGCAGCAACCAAGGACTCCGAACTTGCAATCCGCTTTACGCCTGCCCAGAGATAGGCCTAGTAATAATAATACTAAAGAAGAAAGCTAATAATAGTAATCGTTATGGTAATACTCATACCAATACTAGTGGTAGCCGTCGTAATGAGAGCAATAGTGATGGTATTCGTAATAATAATAGTGATAGTCACAGAAACCGAAACACTACACCCATGCCCTCACCAAAAAACAAACTGCAAAGTTTCAGCCAAAGCTGCTGCGCCCTAACCTCCTCGGCGTTAGCTCTCGCCTTCCAGGAGCTTTGGGATTTCCGGGTTTAGGGTTTACGGGTTTAGCCCTCAACCCTCAACCTTAAACCCTGAACCTTAAACGCTAAACCGTTAGGGTTTAGGGCTTGGGGCTTGGGGTTTAGGGTGCCTCCAAGTGCTTCGGGTTTACTGGAAAAGTCTCCCGGTATGAGCTGTGGCGCTTCATGGTTCCTCCAAGTTCTGTTTAGGACTCATGGCGACTAGAATACTACCAGTATAAGTTACAGTAACAAGAATAGTTTTGGTGCAGAAACAATATAACAGTAATTGTAGTAGTACCAGTAATAGTAAACAAGCAAGCAGGGACAACAGAAGAGGGCTTAGGCTTTAGGGAGGGCTTAGTCGTTGATTTCGGCATTTGGTCTAAGGCTTCTTTCTTGTCGGGGTAAGGTTTAGGGTTCAGGGTTCAGGGATTAAGGTTTAGGGTTCTTTCTTGCCGGAGAAGTACGGTTTGGGGGTTGAGGGCTCGAGCTTTCTGCTACATGATTCGGCAAGGAGGGGCTGAGAAATCTCGGCTCAAGTTGGGCTCCGGAGAGGGTCCCGAAAAGGCTCAAGCTGAAGAGACTCAATTCGTAGGGTCTTGAAGTACCTTAAGTGGCCGTGTCCTCCCAAAAACTCTATCTCTAACCTACTTGATGGCTAAGTCCCCAGATTCTAGAACTATATGGAGACCCTTGTCTATAGGCTCTGATAGGAGCCGTACAAGAGCTACTTACTCAGCACCCTGATCCTTCAGCCAGGCGCCTCAACAGGTGCTGTCAAAGCATCGATGAGGTGGAGCGCGTGCTCGTGAATGAGGCCTCGCCAGTGCTCGTAACGGCTGCAGGGCAAAAGCATTCAATACCAGCAGTAGTGGTAGTCGCAGTATAGTAGATAGTAGTTGGGACAGCACGAGCCGCGGCATTAGGAGTGGCAGCAGCAGCAGCAGCGGCGGCGGCGGCGGCAGCAGCAGCAGCAGCAGCGGCAGGAGTAGTGGTAGTAGTCCTCGTCGCCGCAGGCGCAGCTGCCGCAGCAGCAGTAGCAACAGTAGCATTGAAGCAGCACAAGCAGTGGTAGCAGTCGGAGCAGTAGCAGTAGTAGTAGTAGTAGCAGCAGCAGTAGTAGTAATAATAATAGTAGTAGTTGTTGTGGTCGTCGTCGTTCTCGTCGTCGTCGTAGCAGTAGTCGTAGTAGCAGCAGCAGCGGTAGCAACAGCAGTAGCGGTGTCAGTAGCAGCAGCAGTAGCAGTAGCAGTAGCAGCGTGGGGTTGGGGGGGCAGCATCCGGAAAAGGTTGAGCAGAACGAGCCTAGCAAACGGATCTAGAGTTAGCTGGACATGCATTTGAGAAGTTCGAGCTGGCGTGCTTGCATGCAGCGGGGCTGGCTCAATGGGTGACGTCGTCATCATGGAGCCCTCATGCTGGCAGGCCGGGTCGATCTCAACATTCAACTCCCATTAACCGGCGTGTTCCATTGCACGAAATTGCTGGAAACTGCATCCTGTAGATCTTCCGCAATCTTTTGCACGGATAGGAGGAGCCTTTCTGTTCAAATTCTTTCAAATGGTTCGGTGGCGGTGCCTCGTGGAACAGCAGGAATAAACCTGCGAGGCATCTATCGCATGCACTTGAAACATGAATCGATAGCATCATGGCATCACTCCGTCTTGGAGTTCCGACGGAATCGGCTCGGGGGCGCATCCCTTTTAGGGAGCGGCTCTGGGATGTTGAGCGCCACCACAATCACTGCTGCATTGTCGGCCTTCGTGGCTTTGCCAGCTGCTTCCAGCACTGCTTTGGCAGCTTCCTCTGCTGACTTCGTCTCCCTCAGGACCTTCCTAGCAGTGGTGACCGCAAGCTGTTCGCGAAGGCCATCCCAGATTCCGTCGGTGGCCAGGATGACGAATTCTGTCGTCTTCTTAACTTCGAGGCTGGTCACCTCGGGTGTATTGCTGAGACCCAGGATCTTGTGCCCGGTCTTGTCCACGATGTCCCCGAGGGCTCGAGAGACTTGAACTTTCCCATCCACGTAACCGCCCTCGACGCAGACGCCGAGCTTCTCCAAGCGGTGCTTCTCCTCTTCATTCTTGTCGGGGTGGTGGTCTCGCGTCGTTGTGCCCACCTTTCCGTTCTCGCATACAACTGCTTTGCAGTCCCCCAAATTTACCAGAACGAGCTCGCCTTCCTGAAGGAGCGCAACGCATGCAACCGTTCCGGACGAAGTACCGGCTGTCAATACTTTGGCTTCCTGTTCCAGTTCCTTGTGCATGAGGTCGTCCATCGCTGCCAACGCTTGATTGGCTGCTTCCTGCTTGCTGTTCTCTAACTCGAGGTGCTTTTCGAGCTGCATCGGCAGGAACTGCTTGGCTAGTACAGTGGCCTTCTCGCCTCCATGACCATCGAACACTGCGAAGCAGGCGTGTCCAGCAACATTGTCGCTGATGGATACTGCATCTTCCATCCGCACTCGGTCGTTTTTCGCGAGGGCAAACCCATGCTGGGAATTTCCACCCGAGGCGTAGTCTGGCAGCAGGGATGGGTCTTTGTCGCGTGCTCCACAGCACGGGCACAAGTTTCCCATGGCTCACACGCCTTTCACAAATATGTGGACTATGACTATGCAATTGAAGCCAGGATGCCCTAACACAGCCCTGTTTGTGCATAAAACCGTTGGAAAGTCTCCTGTTGGCTGCATATCTCAATTCATGAATGCATTTCACGCTTCGTGGTCCACACTGCTCTAGTTTGGGCACAAACAGAGCATTGCATCGGTCAAGGATACTGCGACATGCGTACATTTACATGCTTCTATCCGGAGGGCTCTCGCGCGAGTGCTATGAGTTCATAGAAAGCACTGAGTCCTCTAACCCCCGCCGGCCTTTCTTCGAGGCCTTTCGCAAGGCGCAGGTGATCTCCTGCTGCCTGAAGCCGGCAACCCTTTAGGGTTTAGGGTTATGGGTTTCCCCCTTCAGATTTTTTTGTTTGCCTAGACCGTGAACTGTTCTGGAACCCTGGCAGAGCCCTTAATCACTATGTGGAACCCAACCAATACGGATCCCTCATAGAGTCCGTGTAGACTCAGTGTAGACCCTAAAACCTTAACATAGTTTGAGCAGTACTTGGGTTTGGTGCTTCCTGCTTGAAGGTTTACTATAGGGGCCTTAATAATTAAAAAGGGTTTTGGGGCCCACTATACTATAATAAGTCAAATAAGGAACCCAAAACGTAGTATAGGTAATCATCAAGGCCCCTATAGTATCGACTTTGAGTTTCCGGCTACAAGCATAGCCCTGTGCCTTGTGGTTTATGAAGCTTGGAGGGTCGGGGGACTTAGTAACTGGTTATTTTGGGGACTTATAAGTACCATAACCCCAATTAGGGTCCCTTTTAGGGTACCTATAAGTCTACTTACTAACTACTTACTAAGTCCCCCGACCCCCCAAGAGCCCTAAACCCTAAACCCTAAACTGGGCTTCGGCGGCCTAGGTCGAGGGACTCGAGCCTGGGGTTTGAAGGTTGAGGTTGGGTACTGCCCCCATACAGTAACAGTCTGTCATAGGGCTACTTTTTTTAAGGTCCTAATATGGGAGTTTCCGAAAATAGGGGCACCTTATTTTGGGATCCTTATAATAAGGATCCTAATTACTATTTAGGGTGCTATATTAAGGTCCCCTATTTTCGGAAACTCCCATATATCTATATTATGAATATTATCCAACTGTTACTGAGTGGGGGCAGTATCCAAAGTTTAGGTTGCATCCCCTGCAACCTTGAGGTTCATACGGGTGCAGGAGAAAACTCCGGATTAAACTGAATCACTCTCAACTTTGGGGAATTGTGGGCATACTCCTTAGTATGAGTAGTGCTAACTTCTTCCATCAGCCATACACGGGGGTCGAAGTACGAAATACTGCGGCGCAGTGCTGGGCAAGAGCTTGCTGCTGGGATGACAAGCATGGGAACTGTGCTCCCGGCTGCCCATGTGCTATGAACCCCATATGAGGATCTGTGGGAAATCATGTTTTCGAAACTGCGAACGGCAACGACGCTCCCAAAGCCTTCTATGATCAGCCTCCTACAGTAAACATGCAACCTCTACACCCCAAAATTCCTAAATCTCTGAAATGGCAAGAACCGCTAGAAGACTAAACCGACAAAACCCCATACTGATACCCTTCCAGGCCACGTGACCACGTGTAATGGCCCGTATAGAACCCGTATACACCTGATCTTGGAGGAGGATGAGCCCGAAATTCCAGAACCCTTAAAACCCTCAACCCCAACACCATAAACCCTAACATACCCAAAACCCTAACATACCCAAAACCCTACGCCCTAAACTATGGACTCTGAGCCAAGGGCCCGGAAGGCGGGAGCAGTACTCGTCGGCCTGGTCAGCTTGTGCCAAAACAACGGGTTCAAGATTTAGGGTTTTGGACATTTTAGGGTTTCGGGTGTAGGATATTTTAGGGTTTAGGGTATTTTAGGGTTTAAGGTAAGTAGCAACACTCATGACAGTATACATAGCAGCAACAGGCTTGCAAAGCAACAAAGATGTTAGGAAGCAGAGTAATTAACCTGCCAGAAGATCGATTGCAACTATTGCAGTTTGGGGGCATTGCTAATCAGCTACTCACTACTCCACGGCTTGCGACGACAGGAATAAGTCGTTGACGCCAACAACCACGAATACTCCTGATGATGGTATTACTACTACTACTGCTGCCGCTACTGCTACTTCTGACTCCTGACCCTAAACCCTAAGCCCTGAACCCTTAAACTTTCAACACCATCAGAGAAACCCACCGGAGCCATCCCTGGGCTGCACATTACAACAACGACCGCTACTACGGCTATCCCTGCTTCTAGCACTCATGGCCCTGTCACTCGAATTCTTTGCAGCTCTTGCGATTTTGGGTTCGCACACCCCTGCCAAACCTTCCTCTTAATCATCAGAACAGCAATAGAAGCAATAGCGATCATAGTGATCGTAGTCGAATGTAATAATAATCACCATCACTCATTCTAGTGGGATTTTGGTGTACCTTAGATCAGAATGGTGGCGTGCATTCCAAGAGACAGTATATAGTAGCTACGATTCCGACCCCACAGTGCCGCAAGCCGAACAAGCCTCGAGCCAAAACCCTGACCTCAAACCCTACTGTAGAGGCCTTAATAATCATCATAGGGTTTTGGGGCCCATTCTACTATAAGACCATAATTATAATAGGGAACCCCCGAAATAGTATTGGTAGTTAGTTAGGCCCCTATAGTATGTCTGAATACTACAATAAATACCCCCAAACTCAAAACTACTTTCTAAGTCATAAGCCCCCCAGATTACTACATTCCCTTCAAGTTCAGATTCTGAAGGCCGACCCTAAACCCCCAAACCCCCAAACCCTAAATACTAAGCCCCTAAACCCCCAAACAAGGTGCCCCCGGCTCCTGGCCTTTCATCTCCGCAAGCGACCCGCCATCCTGGCCCAGCAGCATCAAGAGCATGCAGCAGCCCATCCTCGGAGCCGGTTTAGGGTTTAGGGCTTAGGGTATGGGGCTTAGGGTTTAGGGTTTAGGGCTTAGGGCTTAGGGCTTAGGGTTTAGGGTTTAGGGTGTGGGGTTTAGGGTTTGGGGCCAAAGGGTCCTATGTACCGATATAGTAGAATGTAGGGTTTCCATACTAGGGATTACTATTATGACTTAGGGAAGTATCCCCCACAACAGTACATAGGACCCTGTGGGGAGTTCAGCGACTAAGACAACCGGACACTCTTACAAATACAATGAGAGTTGTATCATGCTAGGCTATCTGTTACAGTATGACATAGTCTCACTAAATGTATTATACCATATGCTATATCCCCAAGGGTCCAAAGGACCCAATAATTAGGTGCTCGGTTTTAGGATAGTAGTTATGTAGGTTACCATTTTGGAGAGTATATGATAATTAGGTACTTGGGCCACTAGGGTATTGTGTTACAATGTATCGCAGCATTACTACTATTTGCTTAAGAACACCCAAAAAATTAAAAATATATTCCTTATGGGGTTAATATAGGGATTATTATTTTTATTTTTTGGTGGTTTCTTAAGCAAATAGTAGATTATGTCGCCCGCTGGATTGCGAACGAAGCCAGCCTTGGTCCGAACAGGGTTTTGCGTCGCTTTGCGCCGCGTACGTTGGGAGAGTGCAGGCTACGGATACGGGAGTTTCCGAAAATGTGGGGTACCTATAAGGGTTACTATAGGGGATCTATAAGGGTACTATAATATAGGGGCCTTAATTTGCGGGTCCCTCATTATAGTTATAGTATAATGGGCCTCAAAACTCAATTAAGGCCCCTACACTAAACCAATGGCGCCATCCCAGAATGTAACCTGGACATGCATTCAAACCCGAAGACCAAGAACCTGACCCCCAAACCAGTTAGGGCTCCTTGCAGCCTGGCTACGCGTACCAATCTCGGCTGAGAACTCGCTTAATGGCGCTCTCCTGAAACTGTTGTTGTTGATTGCTTCTGCAGCGGTCACAATGCCCTCTCACCGCGAATCTGAGTACATACACTCGCGCTCGCTCACGCTTCAGGAAGCAAATTATGGAGGTGATGGGGAAAAACGTGAGCAAAACACACCGAAGAGAGGAAAGCCCCGGCAGCACAGATTGAGGCTACGCCGCCCCCCGCCCCGGCCAGACAGGCAGAAAAAAAGGAACCACGGCTGTTTCGCTGAGGCTCATGTTGCGTTCAGCCGGGGGTTGCGAATACATTTTAAACTCACCCATCCTGTGAGCCCATCAAAAACCGCTGATGCCCAAACCCCAAGCCAAGCCTTACTACAAAATTTGTTCATCTTCTGCTGTTGCTACAGGCGTGACTCCTTCGTAGCGCTTATCTGGTTTCTGTTCAATCTGCGGCCAGTTGCATCTTCCCGGGTTTCAGACGTTCGGGTCGAGGAAAGCTCTCAGCAGTCTGGTCGTCTTTTCAACGCCGACCGTGCACCCCAAAGTGGCTAGTGAGTAGTGTAAGGGCCTTCTCAAGGAAGGTGTTTTTGGGATTTAGGGTTTATAGGGTTTAGGGTTTCAGACATTCCAGCAAGCTGCGCGCGGACAGAGAGGAATGAATGAGCACACGACATCCAGAAAACCTCCAGGCGGGAAATTCCAACCGCGTGGCATCTGCGAGGATCCCGCGAAGACCCAGAGCTTGTGGCCCTTGTGATGGTTTTACACTTACCAAACTGACAACTGTGGGTGAAAAAAAGTTGGGAACCAAGTTTCATCCTAACAGCAAGCGCTATGTCGCAATGAAGAAATCTGAGTACCTACACAAAAACCCTCGCCTCACTCGTGCACGTCCACATGTATCCCTCATGAAGTATAGCCGGCCTCTTCGTCTTCGGAATCATAAAACTTGGGCTCGTCGTAAACCTGGCTCCAGTTCGCAAGTGGCTACCGGGAGGGCCGATGGGATAAGGCTTAAACTCCCACGACACGAGGATCGTATACAACACTGTCAGAAATACCTGCTCGTCGACGACAGCACCGACACGCTGGCCAACCGTTCCCACAGATAAGTCGCATCGGGGCGATCGGAGCCCAAAGACTCAGGCGAGGTCCAGGGGTTTGGGCTGGCAAACTGCGCCACAAATTGGCTTGGCCAACACAGGTGTCGGGCCGACTGTTCGGAGTTTGGGGCGCGCGATTGAATCTGACTAGTACAGTACTTCCTGCAACGCCGGAAACTTCGAGAATCCCTCAGACGCACGACGAGATTCGTTTGAAAAACCATCTTTTATAGCTTCCGTAGTAATGAACAATTGAGTACGTTGCATACTCATCGGGTGTTTGCTGCTCTTGGAGGTTGGCATTGCGACGCAGTGATGAACATGACGAAAGGATTGCGAACGAGGCCCACGCTGTGCTCCCTAAGTTTTGCGAACTGCGAACCCTGTGCACCACAGAATTTAGGTTTAAATGTTCACGGTCGGAAACTCTAGACGTAAGGTCAAAGAGACTACACTAGTTAGCGCATGTACAAGTTGTGTCTTTACAGTTTTTGGATTTGGCGCGTTTCAATGTCCCAAGGTTGCAGGCAAAACACCTACAGAGTCACCCAGATCAGAACAGCTTCCGCGAAACGTGAATGACAGAATAGCAAAGACCACAGGATCCTACGAACACGTCCAAACTATCATCCCCCGCAGAATCCACAGGGCCAAATTCTCACGAAGTGCATAGTTCACACTGTGCGATTGCTAGATTACGGTGGCAACTACAAATGATGGTTACATAAACATTCATCATTAAGCTAAACATTTTTGCTACTGCGACTATCAACACAGGTGCCACGACCTCCGGTGCCATGAAGCGTGGCGTCCCACACACCGTGGACGAGTAGGGGCTCAAGGCCTCCCGGGGAACGGAAAGTCCAAGGTGTTGGTGCCTGCTGAGGTTCCGGAGGCAGGATTATAGAGCCACGAGATTAATGCGCGGGGATGCAAGGCTTTGTCTCAAACTACGAAAGGGTTAGGTGGCTCGGGGTTTCGAAGTCTCGCGTCTGCCATGACCCTTTATATTCAGTCATAGTCGGTTTGAAGCTTCAAGACTTTCATAAGTTTCAATTGTAACTGCTGGAGTGCAGATTCTCGGCGTTCACCATTCGGTCTGCACCAAGAAACGGGTCAAGGCCGTGATCTGACCTATTGCTTGATACTTTCAGATGAGCTTGCGCTTGACATTTAGGCTACCGGAGGAAACCTGAAGAGCTCTTGGTTTGGAAGACACATCTGAAATTCTTATCTTGTGCTGTTGTCATTCGCGACCGTCCGCACCAGCATCATCGCTACAATTGCTACTGTCACCGTCACCATCAAACTTATCATCGCTGTGATGGTCGTCATGACATGCATCACTGTCTGAGCCAGTACTGTCACTAACATCACAACTCATGATTTGCATCATTACGCTCACTGCCACACGTGTGCACGAATACTTACGGCTCGTATCACCGTGCTAACATTGCTGGAGTGAGCGGCGGTGCATCATTGAATCATTGACTGTGCCCGCACTGCTTGTCATGTTGACCATGCACGACATGCCATCATCAGCTACTTCATCGCCATGCTCATTGTTATCCGAATTTATCCCCTTGCGTTCACTTTAACTAGAAACGTCGTGATCATCCTGACCTTGAGTTTCGCCAGCAACAGCATCTTTACCACCATTATCGTCATCGATCATCATCACCGACATCAGTGACGTCGTTGACAGGCTTCCAAGCATTGTTTTCTCATCCAGCATTTCATCATCGCTACCATCCTTATCACCGCCATCGTCGCCGCTAGCATCAAGAACATCGTCACCATCGTTGTCATGATTGTCACATATTGTCACCAACTCATCACCCTCACTATTCTCATTGTTCTCAACATTATCATCTTGGCTTACGCTGTTCTTACCCATATGCACATCATCACCGTTCTATTCGTTGCGAGCAGTCTCAATCATGTCATCTCTTCATCTTCATCACACACGTCACTTCCGCATACTGCCGCCGTTGTCATTATAGCGGAGTGTTGCCTCTCGCTGGGTGAGGAACGCTACACCCAGCGAAAAGTGTTAATTCCGAAGCCATGCAATTTCATTGCTTGCGCGGGCTTCTCCGGCTATGAAAGCATGAGCCATGGCCTCGCAAGCACAAAGTCGGTCCTCCTCCGCCTTTGCTAGCAGTTTGCGCGTCAAATCCACGCAGGAAGGGTGCGTGTTCCTTGCCGGACCAACTAACACCTTCATCTTCCTGGCTTTCGACTCGCTTGTGAAGGGGTAGGAGCCTTTCAAAAGGATGTACATGATGACCCCTATGCCCCACAAGTCTGCTTTCGAAGAATAATCGCAATCGTAAACCTGCGGGGACCAATACGGCTCTGTGCCGACGCGGCTGCACAAGCGGTCATCAAGTCCTGCGGTTCGCGCTGAACCGAAGTCTGTCAGAACAACCTTGCATCGTTTGTCCATCACATCCTCCCGGTCCCTGAGATAATTGCTACACTTCACATCTCGGTGCACTATGCTCCTCTGGTGGAGGTAGTGGATGGAGGTAATCATCTGGCAGGCAACATGCGCCACGTCCACAAAAGCGCCATCGACGTCCCTGATCGCACACGTAAGGTCGCCCATATACTTGTCCATCACCATGAAAACCATTGAACTCTCGTCATTGTAAAGACCATGGATTTTCACGATGTTTGGATGGTCCAATGTCCTCAGTGTGCACAATTCAAGTTGGGACGAATCCTGGGTAGCCATCGTCTTGACAGCGAACTCCTGGTGCGTGAGGCAACTCTTGCAGACACGTACACTGCCGAAGGAACCTCTGCCCAGCAGTGTAGGCGCCAACTGGTAGTACTGAGCAAACGGCTCAAGAGAAAGTTCCTCAACCACCGACGACACGGACTGCGACGACTCAGATGAACTTAGACTCTGCTTGTCGAGCTGGCTTCTGTCGGAATCAGCCAAGAGGAGCTCCGGATTTTGCAGGTCCCCGCACGTGACGGTTCCGGATGATGCTCCAGACGGTAACACACTGGCCTCGCTGGCCAAATCCGTGTGCATGGGCTCTTTCACTGCATGAATGGAACCAGACGCAGCTTGTTCCTGATTGGTGGTCGGAGTCAGATGATGCTCGTCATTGCCTTCACTACCGCACTGCAGCAAGCCGGCCGGCCCCTTGTCCCTGATGCCGCAGCACTGGCATAAATTGCCCATCGCCGGTTAGGATAACAGAACGCGAACGGTGCCCGAGGCGCGAAAGACCCCAGGACAAAAGGGCTGTAGCACAAGGGTTAGGTCCTGATCTTCGTACGCTGACTCGTATTCTGCCGTGTTGTTGATTTAGATGCAGTGCCATGTACAAGCATACACACGCAGATGTGCTCCAAGTACATGTGTGTACCTGGCTAGTTGGGTGTTGTCGGGCAGTCAACTTCTATCTTACAGTGACTCGTGGCGGCTTGGGCAGACGTACGCATGCTAAACGGATCTGTCCCGGAAAACCATGTGTTCGCACCCTCGTGGCTAGAGAAAAACTTCTAGTCTTGCTTCTAGATGCTCAGACGTCAAACCTCCTTGCGTCGGTGAGAAAAGGATTAACATAGGGGCCTGAATAATTAGAATAAGGTTTGAGGCCCCTTTAGTATGATTATAATAAGGAACCCCCAAAATAGTATAGGTAATTATTTAGGCCCCTATATAAACCCTCTGGGTGCCTTTTCGTCGTTGTCGCTGTCCGGATCTGCACCTGCTCACCGTGTGTGCTTGGTGGTGGGGCGACGCTCGGCGGGTTGTACTTGAAGGTTCATGGGTAGTTATAAGTAGGGTTATAAGTCCCCTAATATGGGTTATAAGTACAGCTACCCTACTTATAACTACCCAAAAACCTCCAAGTAGCTCAGGCTACCCTGTGTAGAACCCGGGATGTTGCTGCAAAGCTGAAAAGAACAATATTAGATTCTACACGTTGTACCCCTTGGGTGTACTGCACTTCCCCCTACATCGTAGCAGTGATCGCAAGAGTAATGGCAACAACCTGAGTAGTTGAACAGTAAATCGTGATAGTGAGAATACGAGGAAGAGAAGGTACGAGTAACAGTAGCAGCCTCAGTACAATCTGGCTGCTTGCGAGGTGGAAGCCACTTGCACTCAGAGAGAGTTCCTCGAGTCCCGGAGGTGTTGGCAACGAGTTCCTGTGACTTATTAGGACCCTAAACCCTACCCTAAGGCCCCAAAGTAGTTCCTTTTTGGGGTTCGTATATAGAATCCTATAAGGTAATCCCAAAAAGGAACTACTTCGGAGCCTATGGGTAAACCGTTGCCTCAGCTCTAGAGTTGCGCTGTTCATTAAGGCTCAGGACCCTAAACCCCAAGCTTGACTTAAAACTGGAGTTTCGAGTCTTGCGCTGAGAGCTCTGAGTCTCATCAAAGGCGCTGAAACGGCCCTGCAATGAACAGCCTGGATAAGGGTAGCTGTCTTCTTTAAGGGTTTCTAATTATACAATTAGGGTCCCTTTTCATTTTCAAGTCCCCAAGATAGCACGGCACCCGAATACGCATCCTAATTTACAGGAGTCGGCATCCTAGGGCTTGCATCGCACACTCTCATGGACGAATCAGGACGTGACCTTAAACCCTTCAGGGTTTAGGGCTTAGGGTTTGGGCCTAAACCGAAAAACCTATCCCCATCTCGATCGAACAATTGCTGCTGCTCGACTTCTGCAGCTGATCCTACCATTGTTCCTGCGAGAAGGGCCACTGCAAGTGCTGGCTGTCATATTTTTTGCATGTTCTGGGTTTATAGGGTTTTAAACACGCGCATAATGTGAACAGCGTCACCTGCCATGCAATGCTCGTTGCCTTCGATCCAATATTCACGGACTGTCGGCTACTCTATTCCCTGGTGAACTTCAGTAAAAAAACACAGTTGTAGTCGAGATCCTTTGAATAATCAAGACACAGAAGCAGATTCCCAAAACGCTAAGATCTCAACATCATCTCGCTGCAGAGCCATTACCCAGGAGGGAGACGAGGATAGGTCTTAGGCTTGGGAAAAACAGGGTGACAAGGCTGACAGGAATGCATGATAAGGATCATGACGATGGCTGTTACCATTGGTGGTTTCATGAATACCCTAAACCCTAAACCCTACACCCTAAACCCCTAAACCCTAAACCCTTAGTACCCTTCTTCTTGCGACACACTGTCAAGCCAATAAGCCATCATATTGTTCGATGAAATATGTTCTTGCACCACTTCCTTTCTCCCGCGTAGCAGCCCTTGGACCACCCCTTAGAGTGATGTAAAAGTCCGAAGAATTATCAATTGCAATTCCTGAGGGTTCGTAAGTATTCTTTAAACAATACTATGAGTAATGTACCACACAAACCTGTGTTCTTATTATTCGGTCCCCTACAGAAACCCTGAACCTTTGAACGCCGAACCCTGAATCCGAAATTATCCGAAACCCTAAGCCAGAAACCCCTAAAGCCTAAAACCCTAGCACTAAGCGTTAAAGGGACCCCTATTCTAATTATTGAGGCCCCGATACTAAACCCGTCTCATAACCGCTGCAGGAACCCATAAAGGATCCTTTTATGGAGAACCGGTGCTCCTTCAAAGGGGACCCTACTATAGAGCCCTATAGTACCCTTTAAAGGGCTCCTATTATAGAACCCTTTGGTACCCACAGAAGGGACCCTACTATAGAACCCTATAGTACCCTTTCAAGAGGGACCATATTAATGCCCTTAAAAGGCTTCCTTTGCGGCTTGTACCCTAAACCCTAAACCCCTAAACCCCCGAACCGTAAACCCTTAAACCCCTAACCCCTAAACCTTGTGCTCCCGGCCTTTGTCCAAGAAGCTGGGATCCAACGACCGAGCCAGGCCGAAGTCCGCGAGCTTCGCCACGTTGTCCTCGGCTTTGGTGTCTTTGGCTTTGAGTTATTAGGGTTTTTGGGGGTAGGGTTTATAGGGTTTAGGGGGTTTAGGATTTTGGGTTTAGGGGTACCCATAGGCCCCAAAGAAGTTCCTTGTTGGGATTACCTTATAGGATTCTAAATATGAACCCCAAAAAGGAACTACTTTGGGGCCTATGGGTAGGGTTTAGGGTTTAGGGGTTTAGGATCTTGGGTTTAGGATTTTGGGTTTAGGGGTTTAGGGGTTTAGGGTTTAGGAGCATAAAACTTGTTTAAAACCCTCTTTTCCTACCGCCCAAAGGGTTTAGGGGTTTCCAGATCTTGGGCGCTTTGAGGTTCTCGAGCGCTTGTCCTCGCATTTGGGATCCGTGGGTTGGGTTTAGGGGTTTGGTGTTTAGGAGGTTCAAGGTTGTTGGGGCCTTTAGTTTTAGGGTCGTTTTGCCTCGGATTGTGGTGGAGGGCTTGAGGGCGTAGGGCTCGAGGGCTTCATGACTTCGGGGCTCTGGGGTGAAGGGCTTTGGGATTTAGGGTCTAGGATCCAAGGTTTTGGTTTTACTAGCGGGTTTGGGGTGTAGGGTTTCGGTTTTACTGGGGGTTTAGGCTTTAGGGTTTCGGTTTTGCCAGGTAGGGATGCAAGTTCCGACAGGATAGCATCCTGGCGGTTTCTTGGCCTGAGCGAAGCTTTAAGATTCGGTGGGCCTTCCACTCATGGACCTCTTGCAGATAGGGACTTTGCAAGTTTGCCCCTTAGGTGCAGCATTGCTATCAGGCGTAGAACATCATGGCCAGCAGGACTATTGACCATTTTTCTCGACACAATGTTCCCTCTTAGTACCTTTGCTCGTGCCTGCTGGTTCTTGCAAGATGTCTACTGCTGATGGACAAAATCCTGCAGTACCCCAAGGACCCTAAACTATGGGAATTATGGTATATTCCCTCTTATGAGTAATGCAGGATTTCGTCCATCAATCCTATGACCTATGATTCTCAGAGTGGAAGATCCCTTTTGGGGTACCCTAAATATTAGGTGCCGTACTATAAAAAGGACCCAAGAAGGGGCCCTAATTTTGCCAACCACCCTCATAGTGGAAGCAAGCGTCTTGGAAGGTGACCAGCACGTTGTCAGGCTTCAGGTCCCGAAACACAACCTCCCGGGATCTATAAGGGTCCTTTAAAGGGATCTATAAGGGCTTCGGGTTTGGGGTTTTAGGGTTTAGGGCCGTTTAGGGTTGAGGAGCAACGGGCTTCAATTTCGAAGTTGGGGCCGCCTCCGACCCAAAGTGTAATTTGGGGGCCTTCATAACTAGAATAGGCTTCCTTTAAAGGGGTCTATAAGGGTTACTACAAGCGATCTATGAGGGTACTGTAATATAGGGGCCTTAATAACTAGAATAGGGTTTTGGGGCCCATTATACTGTACTTATGAGAAGGAACCGCCAAAATAGTGCTGGTGATTATTTTAGGCCCTTGTATTATCACGCTTATCAACCCAACACTCAGCAGGGAGGATCAGTTGGCGAGACGTTAATGTGCTATGGCGGCTGCGCGCGAGTGCTGGTTGGTATTTTGATTGTACTACCGCGGTTTATTCCGTATTCTTGCTCCTACGAGGGAGTGTGAGTAAGCATCCCAGCGACAAATATACATAAGAATATATTATATGTATATTTATGTATGTATCAACAAAAGACATACGGAGACAGAGAGAGACACAAAGAGAGAGAGAGAGAGAGAGCGAGGGAGGGAGGGAGGGAGGGAGGGAGGGAGGGAGGGAGGGCGAGCGGCGAGAGCGGGCGCAGAGCAAACCCAAAAAACGAGAAAGAGAGAGGTCCATGCATATGCACCGGCGTGTATACATGAGTATGTGCATAACTGCCTGTATACACACAAAGACATGTAAGTCCCAGCACTTAAAACCCCAACCAAAACCCCACTGCCCTTCAGCCGTGCACCCCTAACTAGCCCCTAAGCTTTCGACCGAAAACCGTGAACCTTGCAACTAAAACCGCCGCAAGGGAAGTCCCAGGCCCACCTTTTGTTGATGCAGGTACTCCAAGGCGAGGGTGATGCAAGCAGCATAGCGCCTGCGACTCGAGCCGGCAAAGAGGAATCAGCTCATCATTGATGTCATTCTTGCTACTTCTGCTGCACATTATTCCTGCGACAACGACTACGACGACGACTACGACGACGACTACTACTACCTCTTCCGATTCTACCATATTGTACCACAGTTCGGCTAGCTAGTTGATGACACTGCTATCCACTGTCATCGTCACTCACTGACTCGCCATTTCCATCATTCTTTTTGTTGAAAGCAGAGAGTGTGTGTGCGTGTGCGTGTGTGTCTGTAGATAGCCAGGCACGCCAAACATGTTGACCAAGTTGGGATGCGAAAGTGTCGCACAGAGCTGAGGCAACCCTTGGCCTCAACACGAAGTTCGACCTCCAAAGACTCCAAACGGCTAGTCCACTCCACCGTGTGCACCCCACCAAGGCTTCCTCCAAGTGCCCTGAAGGTGCGCGGCTCTTTGGGCGTGTCAGCTCTCAAAGGTCGTTGACGGGCTTGGAGTTTCGGGTTGCAGGACATACAACTCGAACGCTAAAGCACCTTGCCAGGTCTTCTGGAAGACCTTCCAGACGGCCGCTCGAGGAGACGTGGTCCAGGATGCACGCGTTCAGGCTCTTATCGCCTGGATAGGGGCTTTCCCAGTTCTCTCACGGGGCTTTCACGAAAATTCTTAGCTCCATGGGGTTTCTTGCAATCGCTGCCGCTGGCAAGTACCGCAGACTCTGCAATGTTGCTGAGGCGGATCAGTTTGTCTGGTTTTCTTCGGTTTAGTGTTTGGGGATTGGAGAGGAGAAGGTTGGGTGATATCGCCCATGCAAAAGGCCCTACGTTTCTCATGGCCACAACCATGCTCCGCCAATTCCGAAACTGAGACGGCGTTCCACCGTGCAAAACAACTTGAACCCATACATAAGGCTATGCGGTATAAATTTCCAAGGCAACGACAAAGCTCCATCAGCAGCGCGTAGTAGGACTGCGTCTGGAAAATGTGAATCAACCTCCACCACAGCAGGCCGTCACCGCAGGAAACATGCAGAAACATGGGCCCAAGGAAATTTCCAGAGCTACAGGAAAAGTCCGTGGGCATCCTGTTCTGACAAGGGGGGAAATAATTGCGATTGTTTCGGCTCAACAGCTGAAAGCGGGGTCGTTGCCGTGGTGGTCATGGGTCCCTTGAGGCACATTGTATCTGAAAGCCAAACCATGCAGTTAGTTTTGGCGACAAATTGCCAGGAGCCCTCAACTGCCCCCCTTCAGGAGCCCTCAACTGCCCCCCTTTCCGATCCAGACTAACCCCCCTTGAGCCCGAAACCCTAAACTCACGATAGTAAAACTGGCAAGCCTGATATAATAATGACCCTTCCCAGAACCCGTAACGCTTGCCGGTACAGCGACCCAAACTCCAACCTTCATAGCTACCTCAGTTACCCGTTTAAATGCATTCATAAAACCGAAAATAATTGAAACCCGAACTTAACCCTGAAGCAATCCTTTATACCCTGAAGGAATCCTTTATACTTTGCAGCAACTCACGGCCTGACGATGAAGGCGTGGCTGGACCTCCGAGGGCCGGAGCTGAGCTTCTTTCCCAGGCCCCCCCGGGTTTCTGGGCCCAAAACTATACTGAACTTAGAACCTTAGCAAAAATTACAAGTTAGCTGTTTCTTAGGGATTATAACAACCAAAAATTAAAAATATTTCGAATTCTAAGTACCCCTAAGAAAAAGGGAGCTTGGCACATTCGAGAAAAGGCTTTCAGGGTGTAACTATACGCACATATAGGATGTTTGGGTTTGCATATGCTCCGACAAGGCTTTGCTACCAGCCGTGGTTTAGGGTTTAGGGTTTTGAGAAGCATCACTGATAACACTCAAACGCAATGGAGGTGCCACGTATTTTGAAACGCACATGGCTTCTATACAGCCTGAAGCTCTTGTGCCAGTTTACGTTACTGGATAGCGATGGAATCATGGAACCCCGCAGTGCTCATCTTGGCTGGCAGCTGAATCTGAAACAACTGGTTCTGCCCCATCATCGTAACAATGGAAACATGTGGGAGTTTCCGAAAATAGGGGTACCTTCTTTTGGGACCCTTATAATAAGGATCCTACTCTTTAGGGTACTGTATCAGGGTCCCCTATTTCCGGAAAGTCCCATGTCACACGTGACAAGCCCAATAACGGCAAAGGCTTCAGAATGTGGGGCAGCGGACGTGAGTACAGAAGCCGTGCATTGTCAATTATCACTGCTCACTGGGACTTGCAACCATCACTTCTGAAAGAATGCATACACAGAGCCTGAAGCATGACGGTACTTCAAGCAAAGTCTGTCCGCACGAAATCTACGGTGCATGGGACTTCATAATCAACGACATAGCCATCGCCTTCATCCAGTCCTGTCATGTCATCTCTCCCTCAGCTTTGCCTTCAAAGCCACGTCACAGAACTCTGAGACTTGTATGTATGTGTTCCGGAGGGGAACCCGACGTCCATCCTTTCAACCTTACAGCTATGCCCCAAATCCCAAAATCCTGTCTACCCATCGAGCCCGTAAGCGCCACAAATCCACGAGCTGCAAACCCTAAGCCCTAAGCTCCGTGGCCTGTGGAGTGCTTTAGCTTCTCGGATGGCAAATTTGGATGCCCGGTCACGGCGCTGCAGCCTTTGTGCAGAGTTCAGGGGTCAGATCCTAATCCGAAACCTCAACCCTAAGGCTCAAAATAGCCCAAAAGCCATAAATATTATGGTCTTAGTCTTTGGGCCCAAACGCCTTAAAATATGAGTCCTCAGAGGTTTAGGGTAAAGCACTACGAGGGCTGGACTTAGGGGTCCGGGAAGGTTCCTTTACAACCGCTTTGGAAGTCTTAACCTTAGCTCGGCAGAGTTTACATAGTAGCTCCTTTTTGGGATTACCTCATAGGATTCTATATATGAACCCTCAGAAGAAACCACTTTGGGGCCTCTGGGTAAAGTTAGGATCCCATATGTCAGGAGCGTTCAGCAGGAATCCAGCCAGCAGGAGTCACTCATGTAGCGGATTCCTGACTTCCGCTGCTCTGCCTCTGCTCGGTAGCACGGAAGTGCAGAGGTGCTCACTGAAATGGACGGAAGCCTCATGATTTTACATCCTGCGGGTCAAACCAGAAATCCGTGAGTCAGAGAGTACCGGAGATGTTCTTCGACGGAAGCTTTCTGATCAGGGGAGAGGCTTTCCCGAGGCGAGTTTGAAGGTACTTCGTGGATACTCGACCTATGATGCAGGTATTTTATGGGCACGATCTTGCGCTGGAGCCCCAAATTCGGTGCCTAAGCCGGGCGGAATTTGTAGCTTTCGAATCATAGTAATGTGGTGATAACAGTGATCGTTATAGCAATCTTTCAAAGCCCCTAAAGCCTAAACCCTAAACCATTTCCTTGCGACCCGCGCGGCTTCAAGGCATAGACCTCTGACGAGGCGACATCGAGGACCTCACGAGACGCTTGATCTTCCTAGCACCCTAAACTTTGAAAGCCTAAACCCCTACTAAACCCTCTTAGACCCTACTAAACCCTACTAGACCCCTAGACCCCAAACCCTACTAAACGCGAAACCCTCAAGTCTAAGGCTTTTATTTGGTGCTGAAGCCCTCACCCCTAAGGCGCTGTCCGTCGCCTTGTGCCTTGAAGTTGCCGGGCTCTCAACAACAAGGGGTTGTCGAATTGGACCGGGCTGGATTCATAGGATTCGTACGAAAACACGAAGGTTCTGGAAGTTGGGCTTCTGTTCCGAGGCTTTGAAGCTTTTGGCTTCTACTATCGGGTTCGTTTTTGGGGTTCATAGTTAAAGTCCTATAAGGTAATCCCAAACAGGAACTACTGTGGAGCCTATGGGTAAGGGCTTAGGGCCGAGGTGGGGCTGAGGGGATTCAGGCTGCGGGGCTTCCGGTCTAGAGCCTCAGGCAAGGCCTGGCGAGCCGAGATGCCTTGAAGACTTTGCCGAAGGCCCCCGCGCCCAACACGCCCTGACAGGTATGGAAATGTAGGGGCGTTACTAGCTAGAATTTAGAATAGAGTTACATATGGCCGTGGGTCAAAACCCCGTGTTGTCGCGGGGCCCCCCCCCTCTGTTACAAACCCTTGTCGCGCCGGCTTGTTTCAAACCCTTGTCGCGCGACATTGCCGGGCACCTCCATAGTAGTAGCAGAAGTAGTAGTAGTAGTAGTAGTAGTAGTAGTAGTAGTAGTAGTAGTAGTAGTAGTGGTGGTAGTAGTAGTAGTAGTAGCAGTAGTGGTAGTAGTAGGAGTAGTAGCAGAAGTCGCAGGCAGCAGGAGCAGGAGTATCCGCAGCACCAGCACCAGTAGCATTTGGGCAAAGGGGCATGGGCAAGTGGGAATGGGTGGGTTTGGGACTTGGCGGATTTGGGTCATTTCGATTCTGGATGGGGAAAGGCTCAAAATGACACCTGCGAGCCTCTCCAAAACTACAACATAGGTGGCCGCCTTGCTTGGTCACTATCCAGCCACAGCCTAACGGGCAGGCGGATACCTCACATCATCTGAAGTCAAAAGGCCCTTGGTTCGATCCCCGGAGGCGTCATTTGGCCCTTTCCCCACCCGGAATCGAGATTTTGGGGTGACCAAAAGCTCTGGGCTCTTTGGGGACCCTGCGTGGAGAGTGGATGGACATCCGGTGTTGTGGAGGTGTTGTGGAAGTGTTATAGTATCAGACAAAATCATCCAACATCAGCAAGTATCAGGCAGTTTCAGCCAATATCAGCCAGTATCAGCCAAACATCAGCCGATATCAGCCATAACCTTCCCGCATCAAGTTTCAGCCGTATTAGTCAGTATCAGTCAGCATCAGCCAATATCAGCCAGCTATCAGCCAGTTTCAGCCACTATCACCCAGTTTCTACCAGTATCAGTCAATATCAGCCAGGTTCAGCCAATACCATCCAGCATCAGCCAATGTCAGCCAGGATCGGCCAGCATCAGCCATTCTCAGCCTTTCAGCCATTTTCATAGCCAGTATCAGCCACAGCTTCAGCCAGGATCAGCAAGTACCATCCAGTTTCAGCAAGTATCAGCGAATATCAGGCAAACATCAGCCAGTATCAGTCAGTTTCAAAATCAGCCAGGCTCAGCCAATACCATCAAGCCGCAGCAAGTATCAGCCAGTTTCGGCCAGAATCAGCCATTCGCAGCCAGGATCAGCCATTTTCATCCAGCATCAGCAAGTATCAGCCAGTTTCGAATTTCAGAGCCCCATCGTGGTTCAGTGGTGCTGATCCTAGCTGATACTGGCTATGCTGGGTGTGTGTGTGTGTGTGTGTGTGTGTCGTCAATCAGCAATTGGACACCCACACAGAATTTTCTTTGGCGATGATCAATTGGTTTGTGTTCTGGCGATGAAAGCAAAACGATGGAGCACTTGTTGTGGAACACCTCGGTGCCACCTGGGACGCCATTGGAGGTGTTAGCGCTGCTCCCCGCCTTGGTTTTTACCCAGGCTATATTATAAGGAACCACAAAATAGTATAAGGCAATTCATATAGGGGCCTAAATAATTAGAATGGGGTTTCGATGCCCTTTATACTGTAAATAAATTAAGGAACCCCAAAATTGTATAGGTAAAACCTAAAGCAGGCAGGGGCTGATGCAATTTACCCAGAGGCTCCATTGTAGTTCCTTTTCGGGACCACCTTGTAGGATCCTAGATATAAACCACAAGAATGAACTACAATGGAGCTTAGAGGTAAGGTAGTTGATCGGAGAATCACCAAAGTTGTACATGAGCATAAGAATCCAAAGACTGACCCTAGGACACCCCAACTCTCAATGCCACCCCAGCCTGCGTCCGCAAGGCTGTCAGCTGCACCGGCTGCTCCTTCCACTGTAGGCTTGGGGGCTTTGCTTGGCCTGAACTAGATCATTGTTGGGATAGGATTTAAAATGCACGTTTTTATTCCCTATTGGGTTAAAATACCCACAAAAATGTAAAATGTTACCCAACTATGACAAAGAAGGGGAGATCAACATAATTCTACTACCCATGTCCAGCTTTCGAATGGAGACCTTAAAACTCTTGGGCTTTAGGGGGCTTGTGTTCTGTGAGGGGGCCGGGCTTTTAGTGGTATACCGTTAGAGTCCCTATGCAGTTGTAGCATCATATACCAAAGCCCTAGTCTGTTTAATTCTTGTACACTGTTGTACACCTAACTGTATCAAGAGCCTTGTCAGACCCAGTAGAACCCTATATGATGAAAAATCAACTGAGACGCCTTAAAATCCGGGACCGGTGTTAGACAGTGCCGAATCAAGTTGAATCTTGATTTGCTGGATCTTCCCGCTCATTGCCCCGAACCTGCTCATAGCTACCAAGGCCTTCTTCAATCCTGGAACCCGCCAGAAAAAGACCTAAACCCTAAGCCCTAAACCCTAATCGAAACACACAAGCCCTCAAGGGCACCAAAGCGGAAGGGCAGGAAATCTTAAACCTTCCAAGCCCTGCGGTTCTGTCTCCAATCTCTAACATCCCGTCTACACCGAAACCCTGAAACCCCAACACCCTACACTGAATTCCAGAAAGTTGGAACATGGATTCAGGACGACTAGTGCTGGGACTTCCTATACTTTTTTACCTGTAGGGAATGAGGATAATGATGTTGCAACTTTGTGGCTTCTACTGATTCTACCGTAAACTCACAAAAACCCTAAACCCTAAACCCTGAACCCTAAACCCTAAACCCTAAACCGTGGTAGGCGCCTCAGCGAAGCGCTGGTCGGCCCCGAGCACCTGAAGGGGATCTCTTTTGGGGTTTAGGGCTTTACCCATAGGCCCCAAAGTACTTCCTTGTTCGGACTACCCTATAGAATTCTAAATATGAACCCCAAAACAGGAACTACTTTGGGACCTTAGGGTACAGAGTTTGGGTTCAGGGTGCGAGTTTCAGAGGCTGGCCTGGGATATTGTAGGGTCTTTCCGGGTGTTCAAGCGGCCTTTTAGGTCTTGCGGTGTCGCTTTGGGTTTTCAAACCCTCAAGCCCTGAGCCCGAGTCTTACATAAACCCAAAAAGTCCGAACCCAACCCTAGACCCACCAGGAGAGACCCAATCCGAAAGCACCAGCGGCAATATTCTGAATGAACAAACAGATGAGGGCCCTAGACCCTCAAAAGCCCTGAGACCCTTCAGAGCGTCTGAAATCCGCAAAACCTTCTAAACCCAAATCCTCCGCACGAACTCTAAGTTCACAAACCTCCTGCAGGAATCACGACTTGAAGCTGAGCTATCGCCTCGGCCATTCTCTCCCCGACGCCCGTGCTGAACAGAAAGCCTTGCACCGGGGGTTCAACGATTTGACCCTGGGCTCGTGTTTGATAGTTTAGGGTTTAAGGTTTCCGTGTGCTGCTAGCTGGAGGAATGTGAAGCATTCTTGTTCTTCAAGGCTTTGCATTGCATTCTGCACCCTCTGGCTCGAGGACCCCTCTTGCCCAAAACTGGCAAGAAGCCTACGCCCTAGACCGGAAAAGCCCGTGCTGCACCAGGGGCGCTCTTTTGTTCAGGGTATAGTATAGGTTTTTACGCCCTAGACCGGAGGAAAAGCCTATACTCCGCCAAGGGCGCTCTTCCGTTTAGGGTATATAGGGTTTTTCGGGCCCAAGGACGGATCCGCCGAGGTTGGCAACCGTGCACAAGGTCTTGGAGGCTTCAGTAAGGGTTTGACAGGGTTTAGGGTTCAGGGGTTTAGGGTTAGGGTTTAGGGCAGGGTCGTGCGACTGAGGACTTAGATGGGGTTCCTCGGATAGAATTAAGGCGTGATAATTACTTCACATTGCTTGATGTTCATGCAAACCCCACGCCCCATCCATGAACTCAACCCCCCACCCCCCCACCCCCAAAACCCAAAACAGAAAACCCAAACCCGCCAAACCCGAAACCCAAACCTCGACCCACCAATCTCCCAAACCCCCAAACCTCAAAACCCAAACCGACACCCTAAACTCTAACCCCTCTTTCCTCCTTCCCGTTCCGCCTGTCAGGTTCGAATTGTCAGAGCTTGTCTCGTCCACGAGGAATCGCGAGCTGCTGTCCCTGCGGCTGGTGTCTTTCTCATGTTGGCATTGATATTATCACTACACGTATATAGCGATAGTGATAAGGACAACAGCAGGAAGCAGAGGAATGATGATCACAGTAAATATTACTACTAAGAATAAGAATAAGAACAACATTACAAGTAAGAGTAGTAATGACAATAAGAACAAGGGAAATAATCAGAAGAAGAGTGAGAAAAAGAATGTTAATGGTACGCATAATGATACGCAAATGAGCATTAATCTTAACGCAGAGCGGGCTTCTTCCAACAGCGGCTAGTAGACATGTTAGTGGTCATGTTGACGAACTCGGCATGCAATTCATCTCGGCCAGTGTCGAAAAATACAACAACCCAAGTCAACATAGCAATTACTACCGTTTGTCGTGCTAAGTTTTGGAAGCTGCGTATCCAGGTCGGTCGGAGCGTAGCCACAGGCGGGCAGCTACAGGTAAGATTGCAAGGGCCGTGGTCATATTATGTACTTCGTAGCACTTTCAACCCCAAGTGGGAGCAAGTACCTTAAGCAAGGTATAACCCGGAGGTCAAGATACATAGTTGCATAGCGTCACTATGAGTCACAAGCTCCACTCCCAACGACCGTATGCGTTACGGCTCAAGGATTTGAGTTTTGGAAAGGCTTAGGACTTACAGGGTTTAGGACGTTGAGGGTTTCCCCCCCCTGTCACCATCTTTTTTGCCGAGCAGCTTCAGCACCTTTCCGAAGATCTCCGTCGCTTCGACAGGAGTCGTCGGCCTCCTGCAGCGTAGGCGCTTTTATCCCGCACAACCCCACGAACTAGAACTTAGGGATACTCAGGGTTTGAACTAGAACTTAGGGATACTCAGGGTTTGAACTAGAACTTAGGGATACTCAGGGTTTGAACTCGAACTTAGGGATACTCAGGGCTATAGGGTCTAGGGGGTCCAGCGCCAGCGCTAGCATTCATGCTTCGGGACGCAAGGCCCTGGAGGGTCCAGGATGGGCCCCGGCTGCTGGCCGAGATTGTACGGTTGTGAAGCTTTAGAGCCTTCGAAGCTGCTGCAAAGATGAACGTCTTCCTTGAAATACTCTCTGGACATTGACAGATTCGAAGTTGCTTCAAGTGTCTGGAACATGGCATACCGAAGGATTTCCAACCAAAGCACGCGCATTGCAGAATTCCTGTGGCCTCATTTCAGCATGCAGACTGCCTGAACCTGCTTCAACATTATACTATCGTGCTGAACCTTAACCGCAGAGGCATATCTGTGCACATGTGGAAGCGTGCACATGTGGAAGCGTGCACATGTGGAAGCACAGTTTCTCATTGTGGGAAGGCAGCCCTTGAAGACTTGTTTCGCATCGCAACGCAGTTGATGCAAATATTCATAGCAGGGCAGCTTCAGTTTCTAAACCCCAATCCCAACACCCCAGAAAGCCCCAATACCCCAGAAAGCCCCAAACCCCCCCTCAACCCTAAACCCTAAACCCCACGGTTCAACGAGGGAGATTAGGGGAAGCCCTTTCCTTGGGATGCTCTGCTCCATCTGAGTGCTGCAGGTCCGGCCGACCGGGGGCGCCTCTCCTTGCCTGGGAGTCTACGGGGATCGTCAGAGAGTTTGGGGTTTAGGGGCTTTAAGGGGTTTTTATGCGCTTAGGGTTTTATGGGTTGAGGGTTTAGAGTTTTAGGGTTTTCGGGTTTTAAGGTTTAGGCTAGGGCTTTACGGCTTTAAGGTTTAGGGCTTATGGTTTGAGTTTGCACTGTAGTCTTCAGTTTCAAGAACCGCGGTACCCAAACGCTCTTCGTCGATGCCTGAACCCGAAGCAACTAGTTCTTTACTAGGTTCCTGAGTAGCCCCTGTATAACAAGGGTAGCCTTTTTCCTACTATTCGGTTTAATAAGGGAACCCAAAAACAAAAAGGGCAAAAGGGTACCACTCAGGAACCTAGTAAACCTAGCATTGCATTGAAATGACTATCACCCGACCAAGCACTCAACACATGAAGCGAACCGTAAGCCCCCCCCCCATCCTCGGGTAAGCCACGGTTTCGAGTTCCGCGGTCATGCAGAGACAGCTCTACACCGTTCAGTGGGCAACCTGCAGGCCCTGATGCCAAAGACGGAAGAAGAGGAAAGAGCCTTTCTTCACTACTGTACCGGCCGGACATCGATGCAATACAAGCCTTCTTTCTTCAGCACCGTTGTACCACTAGCAGGGCATACAGATGCATGCGCATCCCTAAACCCTGCAACCCTGAACCCTAAACCCGTGTACCCCAACCACTCTTGATTGGGCCGGGAAACTCGCAGGCCATCAACCTGGGAGATGACAAGCGTATTTTAGGTACGGCCCCCATACAGTAAGAGTCTATAATAGGGCTACTATTAAGGTCCTACTATATCTATATTATGAATATTATTCAACTATTACTGAGCGGGGTACCCAAAGCATATTATGAATACTATGACTAGTATGACTACTGTGATCATTATGAGTATTCTTAAACATATTATGGTAATGATGATGGCTATGACTATGAGCCTCAATCAATGTTATTATTCTTGCTACTATTAGTAGTGTTACCATTGCTGTGCTATTGCTGCTATCTGTATTGTTGTGGTTATTATAGCTAATATTCGTATGGTCAATACTGTTTCATTATTTATTGTTGTTGTTGTTGTTGCTGTTGCTGTTGCTGTTGCTGTTGCAGTTGCAATTGCTGTTGCTGCTGCTGTTGCTGTTGCTGTTGCTGTTGCTGTTGCTGCTGTTGTTGATGTTGTTGTTGTCATTCTTGCTATTAAACTATTATTGCTACAATTATAATTATGTGGATCCGCCAATTGGATGCTGAGTTGTGGGATTCAGAGTGCCACGGATTCTGGAAACTGGACCCCTGCTGGCGCCTGCACTACTGCTACTGCTGCTGCTCTTGTACTACCTTACTTAAAGGCTCATGGGACTTAGTAAGTAAGGTTATTATAAGTAGGTTATCATTAGGATAACCCCACTTCGGGGACTTATAACCCCAATTATAACCTACTTACTAAGTCCCATGATCCTTCAAGTACCACCATTACAACTGCTTCTTCTCCTGCTCCTGCTGCCTCCGTCTTGCTGCTTGCGGCTTTAGCTCCAGCCGTTCCCGTCGCTTCTCTCTATAGCCCGGTATCACGGGCCCGAAAACCTCGAGCTCCAGGAATGCCTCCTACAGGACTAACTACATTACATATTGCGATATACAAGTACTTAGTACAAGTGTTGCCACTACAGTCACTCTGGCTCATATCGAGACTCCGTCATGATTCTTCAAGTGCCACCAGACACGAGTCTACCTGAATGGCAAGTTGACTGTGCCACTGTTCCTACAGCAGCAATGCTCATGCATTCTATTTCCCGGGCTAGTACCAGTATTCCACTTAGTTCTCCACCTTGTACATTGCTGGCCTGCTTCCTCTGACAATACAGATTATGCGTCTGGTGGTTGGGTCAATCCGTCACTCTTCCATTGCGTGAGCCAAGTCGCTCTTCCGCCAAACTGCAATCTGCCTTCATGGGGCTGTCGGGCTCGAGGGTCTACGAGTCTACGGCTGCGCGGTAGGGCCGAGGCGTCCAACTCTTCCGGGTCTACAGCTTGAGAGCTGCAGTGTTTAGGATAGGGCTATCTCGCCCCTAGACCCTAAACCCTAAAGCAACCTGAAATTGCCACAGAAAGGAACTTCAAGCAGCTCCCGGCCTTCGGCGAGAGCAGCTGTCGTGCGATGAGTCCCGACTTGTTCGCTTGGAGAGTGCACTCCAGGTGGTCGCCTGACGGTGAGTCTGACAGGCTCTAGAAGCCCTACATGCAACGATATTCCTTAAACTTGATACTGGGGTCCTGCAACGAAAGATCCGACATGCAGGTTCTAGGACTCTTGCATGTCCAGGAGAAGGCTTCCAGCAAGTTGCGCGCCTTCCTCGGCAAGTAACCCTCAAATCCTGAAAGCCTAGACTCAACCCATAAAGAAGACCTGGACCCCCCCAACTTTTCCTTTTTTCCGCCTCTAACTACCTCTTAATGAAGCATAAGATCCCCATAAAGGATCCCTGGAAGGAAACCTACTACATTTAAAATCCCTTGTAAAGGAACCCTTCAAACCTATGAGTTTATAAATCATTCAAGGAACCCTTTAAGAAATTTCTTTGAGGGTCCGCGGGGAAGCCCCAAGAGAGCTCGAGAATCTGCCTCGCAGCACGCAGGGCGTGTCGTTCGGCGGATGGAGGAGAGCTCGAATGCACCTCCCGGGTCCCTAAAAGCTTCGAGGTGTTGCGCGTTTTAGAGTTTCGAGTTTTAGGGTTTCGGGTGTAAGGTGTAGGGTTTCGGGTTTTGGCTCACGGTTTAGGATCTGGGGTTGAAGGTGTTGGGTTTAGGATTTACAAGGTCGATATAGGGGTTTAGGAACTGACGGTTTAGGAATTCAGGATTTGGATTTCTGGGTCTTACCTAAGGCAACGTGGCCTCACGTCGCCGCGCCGGCACGCCTTGTGGAGAGCAGTCTCATCCTCAACATCCTTGGTTCTACAACGGCATAGCTCGAGGACCTAACATCATGCTGAATCATCATGGCCATCATGGTAACAAGGCTCGAAGGAACATAGCAAATCCTTAGAATCATGACCCTGAGCCCTAAACCCCTATAAACCCTAAACCCTGAACCCCTAAGCCCTATAAACCCTAAACCCTGCACCCCGCTTTCAGCTTGAAACCCAGTGCTTTTGTGCCGCCACAGTGCACACAGCAACGGGTCAGCTCCATGCTGCAGCAGAGCCGTGACCTGGGCAGTGCAAGTAATTGATCATAACAGCGATAGTGGTGAAAGGAATAAGAGTAACAACAAAAAGATTAGTCATATTGTTAAGTAATAAAAGTGGAGCAAGGCAAGCGTAAGAAGAATAACAAGGACGTGACTTTATAGGGTTTAGGCCACATGAGGCGGGTTATTGTCCAGCTACCGTATGGTAGGATTCGCAGGACGCTACGACTTTCCACGCGGTTTTGAAGGGTTTGGAAGGCTGAGGCGGCACGGGAATCTGAGCTCACGGTCAACCCCCTAAAAAAAGGTTTGGCAGGGGCTTGGCACCCCGATGCGAGGTTTAGCCATGATTCTCTTTCGGGACTCTTCCAGGCGGTTGTCACATAGAAGCCCAGACGCGGCTCAGACATGTAAGGATCCTGTTTTTGCAACATCAGGCCACCCCGACAAGACAGATTGCCTTCGAGCTCTTAATCAGGGCGTCTAGGTTCTGAACCCAAGACATGTCAAGAAACACAAGCACTGCTGCCGGCAGCTGCCGCGATGTGCAGCCTCGGCTGATCTGGTTAAAGAGTGCTCCGTCAAAGAGTCTTGGAGTTTCTGAGGATCCCCATCATATTATGATACACATGTCTACAACAGCTTGTTAGCATTTGCGGCAACATGCTTTTGAAAACTAATTACAGTACGTTTGCTAGTAGCATAGATTTGGGAGCTTTGGGTCTCGGGGGCTTAGGGTTTAGGGTTTAGGCTTTGGAAGAGCTGCACCCTGAAAGAACACGGCACGAGGCATGAAGCCAGGATAACAGGGTTTAGGGTTTGGGGGCTGTGTTCAGTTTAGGTTGAGGGTCTGGGGCCTTGGGTTTGGCCGATTCAGGTTATAGGGTGAAGCCTTTAACAACACGATGAACAAGTTCAGGGTTTGTAGGGGTTTAAGTTTAGGGTCAGGGTTGAGGATTTAGCAAGGAGGACGGATTGAACCGTCTGCCAGGTGGCGGTGTTTGCCTCGTGGCATCCAACAGACGCCGATTTGCATCCGTGCCTCCCATACTGCTTCCCTTCTGGGGTTTAGGCTTAAGGCCCCTGAGCACAATTTCCTAACCCCCAGCACTCCGCGCCTGAATCAAGTTATACTACAATCCATGATATGAACAACTAATAACTGCAAAGGTCGTTGCTTCCTGTGAGCCGTGCTTGTACTCCGCTGAATGCTGCGATTCCTGGACACTCAAGGCGTCTGTTTCCCAAGGGCCCAAGGGCTCCAAACCAACCCAAGTGGAATTGCATAGCGACTCCCACCTAGGATGCCCAGTAACCTAGGAATGAAAAGGGCTCCCTTTTTGGCACTGGGTACCTGTGAATAAGGGTACTACTGGGCATCCTAGACCACACCCCATACCTGCACAACGCACACCCAGACATCACGTCGCAGGATTCCTGAAACACACCCACCGCCTTCGTCCAGCAATGCCGTCAGCTCCGGGAGCAACCTCTCCGTCTCGAGGATAAGACAGAGCAGCAGCGGCAATACTTTATCAAAAGTAGTAGCAACAATGATAAAATGAGTAGTTCTTCTCAGGAAAGAAAACGCCATCGCTGGATTATCACCGCCATCATCATCATCACCATCATCATTAGCAGCAGCAGCAGCAGCTGCAACCTCCTCCTGATCATCATCATGTTCATCAACATAGTTCCTCGCGGCTGCTACACATCTCTACCAGACTCTACGACTACGAACACCGCCATGATGAATTTGAGTCAGTCTGCCCCTTGCGACAGGCGATGAAGATGTCAACAGGGCGATGGCGAAGTCCTCGGCGGCGGGTGCATTGGGCCAAAGGCACCTATAGGTTAGGTACGGCCCCCACTCAGTCATAGTTGAATAATGTTCATAATGTAGATAATACTAGGACCTTAAAAGCAGCCCTATTATTGACTCTTACTGTATGGGGGCAGTACCTAACCTATAGGGTTCAGGGATTGTGGGGCTAACACTTGGGAGTCACTTGCGAGCCCATCTGAAACTCCATGAGGCGCGGACGCGTGAAACACTCCAGGAGGAAGTATGCCACGAGCCTTGCGGGCGACGATGACACAAGCCAGCAAAGCAAGAAACCCTGAAACCTTTCGCCTTGGGCACCATACCACAAAGCCCTCAACAAAGAAAGGCTTTGCTGCATCAGCTCCTGACCTAGACAATGACAACTAAAGATGTGTCTGACAAAACTACACTCTCAAAGAACAAATTGACTCTGAACCATCCGCCAACCTCCGACGCACCTCTGCAGCGTTAATGGAAGCCCTTCTCGAAGCCTAGCAGAATTTGCTGCCGCGTACCCCTTCATCTAACACCCCCTGGGCATCGGGCAGCGTGCCAACCATCGAGAGCAAGCCCAAGAACTCGGCCTGCACAGCTTCATCGGTTGGGCCCCAAAGAAGCACATAAGCAAAAATTAGGATAGGGATATCCCATATACACTCGCTTATAAAGAAGCCCAATATGGTAGTGATATCCCCATAAGATGCTTATGCTTATGTGCTTTTTGGGTCCCTAAATCAGACAACTCAGCGGGGACTCGTGGAATGAGGGGGTTCCCAAAAAGAGTTGTGTAAGGCCTCCCATAACTTCGGGTTCCTTCAAAGGTTACCATGCGGGGCGGCTACCAAGGGTTACTCTAGGCTTCCCATTACCAAAAAAATCTAGGAGCCATAGCTTCAGCACAAGCTCTAAAAGTCCACCAAAGCCCCACAAGCCCTCAAACCCTCAACCCTAAACCCTAAACCCCCCTAAAAGGAACCCGAAAGCCGACTCCCCGGCTCGAATTTGGAGGGTCGCTTGGTGGAAATCGCGGGAATACTTTCTCTAGGATGCCCGGTAACCTAGGAACTACAAAGGGCTCCCTTTTCGCTATTGGGTAGCTTTATAAGGAACCTAGGACTACGAAAAGGGAATAAGGGTAAACTGGGCATCCTAGTTCTATCAGTTAACCCTAAACTCTCTTGAGTCCAATACTCTTTCTTGGCTTGTGGGTGGTTGTCAAAATCATGGCCCCTTTTTGGGTACCCTAAATACTATTTGCCGTGCTATAATAGGGACCCAAAAAGGGGCCCCCCATGCTCCGAGTTGGCCTCCCAGCCCTCTGTGCGAAGGTGGCCAGGGCGGGCAAAGAACCTGAGCTGGGAAGCTGCTGGGGGAGGGTTTCGGTAGGTTCCACTATGGTATATTCCTTGTATCGGGCAATGCATAGTAGGGCTTTGGGTTTAGGGTTTAGGTAGGGCGTTGAGGGCTGAAAGCGAGGCTCAAAGTCAAGGTGGATCCCAGCCTGGCTCCCGATAAGTGGATAGGGATAGAACTTGAATCATGCGGCATGCTATATGCTACCTAGCCATGCGATAACACCGTATCATACAGTGCAAAATCTTTCTGCTATGCAAGAGTCTCGGTCGAATTTTGGATCGAGCAACTTCAACCATCAACGATGAAACAAAGCCCCCAGACTCAATCCAAGGAATCCTTCAGCACCCGGCAAAAAGTCAGGGTTTAGGAATCCTAAGGCGTATGAACCATGCACCGACTGAAAACCCTTAAGACCTATATGAACCCTATAACTCTAGACTCTAAACCCGTAAGCCTACAGTAAAAGCTAGACTCCCCAAACCCCGAGACTTTGCCTTAGCTCACGCCAGGCCGCCAGATCAACGGTATCACGGAAGCAGATTGGAAGACGCGGAGCCCGCGGAGGAAGCTGGAGATGTACCGAGCCTACAGGGGGTTTTCGGCTTAGGGTACCGAACTACTAGGTCGTTGTAAAATATACGGGCCTTAATACCAAGAGAAAGGTTCTGGGGCATATTATACCAGAATTAAACTAAGGAACCCCGAAATAGTTTTGGGAATTATCTACACCCCTATATCGGTGGAGGGTTTAGGGTTTACCCAGTTGTACAATGTAGGCAGCTGATTAAGAAAAGCTGGCCCTATAGCCCCAAAAGAATAGGATCCATAGAAAGAACCCCAGTAAAGACCTACAGCTTCTTTGTGAATCAGATTCCTAGATTAGTTTTATGTAAATAAAACTGCTCGCAGGGTGTTAAGGTGCTTTGAAGTTGTTCTATGGCGGAATTTGGAAGCCCTTTTCTGGTTGATTAGAGCTGTCGTAAGGTTTGAGAGGGCTGTTCGTCTTTTAGGTAAGGAGCGTTCTGGCTCCGCTTCAGGGCTGTCAGGGCTTAGGGCGCAGGCTGTTTGGGAGCAAGGGCTTGCAAGACTTACAGAGCCGAAGCTAAGAAAAGCTTAGAGTAGGGCTCCTTTGTGAGGGTTCTATTTTCAAGGCAACTTTACCGGGTATGTTGGGGGATACTAGTACTCATTATTTAGACTACAACAAACAGTGTATTGGGAGCAGAAAGGCTCTGGGATTTAAGGATTTCAGGGTCTCTGAGAAGTTCTGGGTTATCGGCTCAGCGTTCAGAGTTCCCAAAGGCTCCGACATGCAACAGTTGTGGAGATCGGAGTTCACCTTGATTGCTCAAATGTTTAGGGTTTAGGGTGTCAAATAGCTCCCTTTACGGCCTGCATCGTCAGGCCGCATTCGTCAATGAAGCGGCAGCAGTCGAACACGTAGATTGACACACCTCGGGTAGAGTCTAGGGCTTCAGGGCTTAATATGGGGGGCCTTAAAAATCAGAATACGGTTTTGAGGCCCCATAGACTATCATATATTTTAATCAGGAACCCCCAAAGTAGGTCAGTGCGCAGGCTCCTATATTAATTAGGGGCTTGCTGCTTCTCTGCCGGTCTTACAGATGGCCGTCCCGGCTCCCAGGCCCTGCATCACGAAGAAGCCCCACCACATGAGGGCCCGACTCAGGATCAGCACCATCCTGGACAGGTCCCTAAATCCTAAACCCTAAAATTCAAACCCTAAACCCCAAACCCTGAACCCAAAGCCCTAATTAAACCCTATCCTGGACAGGTCAGAACAGCTTGGTGGTGCAAGCGGACTAAAGCCATCGGTCCCGTGCCACCCTTGCCAGAGCGACCATGCAGCCCTTTCCTCGCGCAACTCTTCTCATGAATCTCGGAGCTGTCTGAAAACTCTGAAACGGAACCATAGAAAGCCGCAGTGGCTCTGGTCTGTCAAGCAATGCTCAGCACCTCTCATGTCCCTGCAAGCAGCCCTAGGAAAGGCCGCAGAAAGAAACAAGCTCAGACTGTGCAGTCGGAACATGAATCTCTGGGCGAGGACTGAAGACGCAGGCCGCGACTTTCATATGGCTTCTGACTAAACTGTGCCTATGAAACCATGCACGCCAACGAAACAGGTGGGTGCAGTGCCTGTGCGTTGTGCTCACATCCTCACTTCCGGTACTTCCTCGGCCACGCGGAATTGAGCCGTCTGGGCATACTCCCTCATCTGCTGAGTGGCTTTCTCCAAGCGCTCCTGCTTGCTGGGAGCCGCCTGGCAGAAACGCAGTAGCAGAAGGAGTGGCTATCCAACTCCTCGAAACTCTGCCTAGCCATGAATCGAAAGCTGCCCGAAACTACCTCTGACTCCCGATCCGCCTCAAGCTTCACTCTCTCCTGCTTCAGCTCTTCAAGGACTTGGGGGAAGTAGGACGCCTTCCGCAGTGAACGCATTCCGAGAGTGTTGAGTGCCGGAGGTGTAGGATTTTGGGATGTGGGAGTAGGATCTGTGCGTGCATTTTTGCGTTGTGTTCAGGGTGGCTGTCTCTGGGCGTGCATTTCGGTTCTGCTGCTGAGGTTCATGGTTTGGCGCGAGACTGCGGATGAGAATCTGAGAAGGGCTACCAGTCACAGAAACGACTGCTTGCCTAAACTTAAACCCGTTGCTGGTTCAAGCCCTAGAAAAGAAGGAAATCTTCTTACAGTACTTAACCGAACCGGGCTGATCAAGCCGTGCTTACGTACCTGCTCACCTAGACTCATGTTGGCCTCCATGTCTACGGACCCTGTGACATATTCCCCTCACAGCCGCCTCAATTCGGCTCCGCGTCACGAAATCGATTTCGCCTGGCTTCGTAGCGGCCAAGGCGGCATCGACGCCCTGCATGTAGCTCGGCCTCACCACGGAGAACCTCAGTGCTTTCGCTTAGCGGCCCAGCGCTGAGCAAAACACCCAATCGATGATCTCACTTCTGAAGCCCAAAACATTGATCACACAAATCACGGAAATATTTTCGCCTGGTTCCTGGTAACCTGGTACTTTGAAAGGGAGCTGAAGGAACAGCAAAAACACCAGCTACTACACTTGGGATCCAGGTCACTCAGGCAGGTCGTTGATGGCCCAGCTGCTTGCGGGCACTGCGAGGGCCACCATTACGCCTGCTAGGACTCCCATCACAACGGCGCCGGCATCACTCGGAGGCTCAGCGCGGTCCAGCTTGTCCGGGAGGCCACGGGGGGTGGACACACGCAGCGGAGGCGCCACGAAAGCGATGCCCACGAAGGCGAGGGCCAACACAGCAAGGACTGAACTGGAGCGGGTCATGAGCGTCAGACTCTGCTAGTTCTGCACGTCTCAAGGCTATTGCAACTCAGCCAGAAAGCTGCAGCAGCCCGGACACAACATGAGGCAAAGGCCACATGCTATCAGGTTGTCCACTCCCCGAGCACTAGCTTCAAAAGCCGTGCCACCCTTGCCAGAGCGACCGTACAGCCCTTTCGTCGCGCAACTCTTCTCATGAATCTCGGAGCTGTCTGAAAACTCTGAAACGGTACCATAGAAAGCCGCAGTGGCTCTGGTCTGTCAGGCAATGCTCAGCACCTCTCATGTCCCTGCAAGCAGCCCTAGGAAAGGCCGCAGAAAGAAACAAGCTCAGACTGTGCAGTCGGAACATGAATCTCTGGGCGAGGACTGAAGACGCAGGCCGCGACTTTCATATGGCTTCTGACTAAACTGTGCCTATGAAACCATGCACTCCAACGAAACAGGTGGGTGCAGTGCCTGTGCGTTGTGCTCACATCCTCACTTCCGGTACTTCCTCGGCCACGCGGAATTGAGCCGTCTGGGCATACTCCCTCATCTGCTGAGTGGCTTTCTCCAAGCGCTCCTGCTTGCTGGGAGCCGCCTGGCAGAAACGGAGTAGCAAAAGGAGTGGCTATCCAACTCCTCGAAACTCTGCCTAGCCATGAATCGAAAGCTGCCCGAAACTACCTCTGACTCCCGATCCGCCTCAAGCTTCACTCTCTCCTGCTTCAGCTCTTCAAGGACTTGGGGGAAGTAGGACGCCTTCCGCAGTGAACGCATTCCGAGAGTGCTGAGTGCCGGAGGTTTAGGATTTTGGGATGTGGGAGTAGGATCTGTGCGTGCATTTTTGCGTTGTGTTCAGGGTGGCTGTCTCTGGGCGTGCATTTCGGTTCTGCTGCTGAGGTTCATGGTTGGCGAAAGGCTCTGGATGAGACTCTGAGAAGGGCGACCAGTCCCAGAAACGACTGCTTGCCTAAACTTAATGGTCCCTCTACATGTTCAAGCCCCAGTAATGAAGGAAATCTTCTTACGTTACTTAACCGAACCGGGCTGATTCGATCAGGAAACGGAACAAAAAGTCGTACTGAGGGCGCGCTCTGAGGGATCAGCAACTGATGATGGCAACCCAAGCCGTGCTTACGTGCTTATGTACCTGCTCACCTAGACTCATGTTGGCCTCCATGTCTAAAGCCCCTTTGACAAATTCCCCCCACAGCCGCCTCAATTCGACTCCGCGTCACGAAATCGATTTCGCCTGGCTTCGTAGCGGCCAAGGCGGCATCGACGCCCTGCATGTAGCTCGGCCTCACCACGGAGAACCTCAGTGCTTTCGCTTAGCGGCCCAGCGCTTTTAAGCAAAACACCCAATCGATGATCTCACTTCTGAAGCCCAAAACATTGATCACACAAATCACGGAAATATTTTCGCCTGGTTCCTGGTAACCTGGTACTTTGAAAGGGAGCTGAAGGAACAGCAAAAACACCAGCTACTACACTTGGGATCCAGGTCACTCAGGCAGGTCGTTGATGGCCCAGCTGCTTGCGGGCACTGCGAGGGCCACCATTACGCCTGCTAGGACTCCCATCACAACGGCGCCGGCATCACTCGGAGGCTCAGCGCGGTCCAGCTTGTCCGGGAGGCCACGGGGGGTGGACACACGCAGCGGAGGCGCCACGAAAGCGATGCCCACGAAGGCGAGGGCCAACACAGCAAGGACTGAACTGGAGCGGGTCATGAGCGTCAGACTCTGCTAGTTCTGCACGTCTCAAGGCTATTGCAACTCAGCCAGAAAGCTTCAGCAGCCCGGACACAACATGAGGCAAAGGCCACATGCTATCAGGTTGTCCACTCCCCGAGCACTAGCTTCAAAAGCCGTGCCACCCTTGCCAGAGCGACCGTACAGCCCTTTCGTCGCGCAACTCTTCTCATGAATCTCGGAGCTGTCTGAAAACTCTGAAACGGTACCATAGAAAGCCGCAGTGGCTCTGGTCTGTCAAGCAATGCTCAGCACCTCTCATGTCCCTGCAAGCAGCCCTAGGAAAGGCCGCAGAAAGAAACAAGCTCAGACTGTGCAGTCGGAACATGAATCTCTGGGCGAGGACTGAAGACGCAGGCCGCGACTTTCATATGGCTTCTGACTAAACTGTGCCTATGAAACCATGCACTCCAACGAAACAGGTGGGTGCAGTGCCTGTGCGTTGTGCTCACATCCTCACTTCCGGTACTTCCTCGGCCACGCGGAATTGAGCCGTCTGGGCATACTCCCTCATCTGCTGAGTGGCTTTCTCCAAGCGCTCCTGCTTGCTGGGAGCCGCCTGGCAGAAACGCAGTAGCAAAAGGAGTGGCTATCCAACTCCTCGAAACTCTGCCTAGCCATGAATCGAAAGCTGCCCGAAACTACCTCTGGTTCCCGATCCGCCTCAAGCTTCACTCTCTCCTGCTTCAGCTCTTCAAGGACTTGGGGGAAGTAGGACGCCTCGCACGCTCTACGCATTTTGGCGCGGGTTGCCGGACCTCCCCGACTGTGAGTGCATGCAGGGATGCCCCTGCTATCTTGTGTTTGAGGTTTAGGATTTTGGGGTGCAGGGTCTGCGCGTGTGTTTGTGCTTTGCGTGCAGGGTGGCTGTCTCTGGGCGTGCATTTCGGTTCTGCTGTTGAGGTTCATGGTTTGGCGCGAGACTGCGGATGAGAATCTGAGAAGCGCTACCAGTCACAGAAACGACTGCTTGCCTAAACTTAAACCCGTTGCTGGTTCAAGCCCTAGAAAAGAAGGAAATCTTCTTACAGTACTTAACCGAACCGGGCTGATCAAGCCGTGCTTACGTACCTGCTCACCTAGACTCATGTTGGCCTCCATGTCTACGGACCCTGTGACATATTCCCCTCACAGCCGCCTCAATTCGGCTCCGCGTCACGAAATCGATTTCGCCTGGCTTCGTAGCGGCCAAGGCGGCATCGACGCCCTGCATGTAGCTCGGCCTCACCACGGAGAACCTCAGTGCTTTCGTTTAGCCGCTTAGCGGCTTAGCGCTTTTAAGCGAAACACCAAATCGATGATCTCACTTCTGAGGCCCAAAACACTGATCAGAGACACGGAAGCGTACTCGCATGGTTCCTGGTACTGTGAAGGGAGCTGAAGGAACACAAGCTATTCCAGCTATTCCACTTGGGATCCATCCAGGTCACTCAGGCAGGTCGTTGATGGCCCAGCTGCTTGCGGGCACTGCGAGGGCCACCATTACGCCTGCTAAGACTCCCATCACAACGGCGCCGGCATCACTCGGAGGCTCAGCGCGGTCCAACTTGTCCGGGAGGCCACGGGGGGTGGACACGCGCAGCGGAGGCGCCACAAAGGCGACGCCCACGAAGGCGAGGGCCAACACAGCAAGGACTGAACTGGAGCGGGTCAAGAGTGTCAGACTCTGCTAGTTCTGCAGGTCTCAAGGCTATTGCAACTCAGCCAGAAAGCTGCAGCAGCCAGGACACAACATGAGGCAAAGGCCACATGCTATCAGAAAGCCCTGTGCACCCTTTCCTTCTGGCTCCGCTCGAACCTCCTCGAAGCTAATATAGGGGCCTGAATAATTAGAAGGGGTTTTGGGGCCCGCTAAACTGCATTTGCATTTATCATAAGGAACCCCCAGAATTAGTATAGGTAATCACACGGTAATCATTAAGGTCCTTATATTACACCCTGAAGCCTCAACCGGCCTCGAAGAGCCGGGGGTCAAGCTTGTGACCACCAGAAGGGCAGCGGTTCCTGTGATCGGTTTTGCGAACACTCACGAAGAGGGCTGGGGTTTAGGGTTTAGGGTTTAGGGTGTAGGGTTTAGGGTTTAGGGGCTGGAAGGAAAGCTGATAGATCCCATGCGACCAAAAGCAACACCAACGTCCTTGCCAACACCATCAACGAATCATGACTGAAGGCATCACTCATCACCACCATCACCGTCACAACCACAATCATCATTACCATTACCATTGTCATCCTCACCAGAACCGTCATCCAACAACACCATCATCATCACCGTCGCCATCATCATCAACAGCAACATGGGCGTGCTCGCGTGCCTCCCAACCAAAAGCCTGTGAGATTCACGAAGCTAGGGAGCTGAATGCCCACAAGCCCTCAAGCCTTGCAACCTTCACAGGCCATCACAGGCGCAGATCCCCGAACAAACCTCCACCATAGTTAAAGGAACCCCTCAAAGAACCCGTAAAGGACATACAGAAACCCTTAAAGGAACCCTTCGGCTCGAAGGCTCTCCTTCTTGCAGCCGAGAAGCCAAGCAAGTAGTCCAAGGCGAGGAGAGAGACGCCCAACAGCGCCTGGTTCCTGTCGCCGCAGGCTACTTGGAGGGTCAGGGGATTTAGTAAGTAGTTAGTAAGTAGACTTATAAGTACCCTAAAAGGGACCCTATTTGGGGTTATGGTACTTATAAGTCCCTAAAATAACCAGTTACTAAGTCCCCCGACCCTCCAAGTAGGAACTCGATCAACCATACCCGGAAGACGCCCAGCACTAAACCTTGTGCTCCACAACACCCAGAAAGTTGAATCGGGAGGCCAGTTGCCAACACTAGGAACCCTCCCGACAACATCACTTTACAGCACCCTTGACGGAACTCTCACAGCAACCCTTGACAAAATCCTACGCTACCATCCTCGGTCCCCTGCCCAACTGCCCGAAGGGGCCTCAGGACCACGGCGAATCCGAGCAGGGTGAGGATCCTGGCTCGCGGGCGTGGGAAGTGTGGGGCTTCTTGGAGTTGAGGCGGCGTCCGGGCTTCAAGGTCTGCCAGGGTTTAGGGTTCAGGGTTTAAGGTTTAGGGGTTTAGGGTTTAGGATTTGTTAGGGGTTTTTTGAGAAATTATCAGGTTTGCCGGGTTGAGTGTTTCTGATGCTTTTCGGGGGGACTCAAAATCCTGCATCGTGCGAAGCACACCGAAACCCAAGCCCTGTTTGCTCGACTATGCATCATTGCGGGTGATCATTGATTCTGAAACACAGGCGCTTGCTTCGTCGTTTGCGGGAGGGTCTTGGTGCTTTGGGAGTTGGGAGCTCAGGGGCTGCTGCGGCTTGGTGGCTAAGGGCCACAAAATCGTGTCACTAGGGTTGATGATAGAAATCCTGCATTACCTTGCCCTGAGGTAGAGGACCCTAACATAGCGCTCTAAATAGAAGAATCCTTATTACAAGGACCCCAAAATAAGGTACCCCATTCGGAAACTCCCAGATCTCAAAGCCTGAACCTACAAGCTCGATGAACCCTTGCGATCAAGCCCTACCACCCTATAGAACCCTACAAACCCTAAAAACCTATGTAACCTCAGTAAACCCTAACTAAACCCCCTTCTACCCTATTATATACCCTATACAACCTAAACAGAACCTGTAAAACCCTAGAAAACCCTAACTAAACCCTCTTAACCCTAAATCCTAAACCCCAAACGCAAACCCTTTTACCCCTTGAAACGGGGGAACAGGAACCCCCTTTGCCTCAAAGCCAACTCAACGAGTCTGTAGCTGTGGTGTAGCACCTCAGCGAAAGCGGGGTGTCGACTGGGGGGTCCTTGCCCAGAGGGCCCACAGTAGTTCCTTTTTGGGATTACCTTATAGAATTCAATATATGAACTCCAAAAAGGAACTACTTTGGGGGGGCTTAGGGCTTATTGCGGCGTTGGGTTCAGATTTTTTTAGCTTTGAGGGTTGGTTCGGTTTAGGGTTTAGGGGTGCATTCGGGTTTATTCGGGGTGAAGGCTCGTGGGGCTTAGGTTTTAAGGTTGAGGGCCAGGGGTTTATTGGGCTGTGGGATGCCATAAGGGGTATTTTGAGGGGTACTAGAAGAGTTAGGGCTTCTGGGTTTAGACTGTAAGGCGGATTGTTTTGGGGTTTGGGGTTGATTGGGGTTTGGGCCATTTGGGGGGCGGGGGGGGGGGGGGGGGGGGGGATTCACTGTGGGATGGTAGGCTTTGTTGAAGTATCCGAGAGTTTGTATGGGGTTAGAAGCATGTCAGATCCTGGGGGACGGATGGAGGGTTCAGAGCTGCTTCATGCGGGCCCTTGTCTTCTAGGGAATCTCTCACGGAGGGTTTTAGTGTCCTCAAAGGGCGTTGATGTATGTTCCTGGAAGCCTGTACAGGTTTGAGCTTCCGGGTTGCAGACTTGCGGTGGCTCTTGGAACCCTTACTGAATAATTCGAATGGGGTTTCGAAGGAGCATATTATCTCGGAACTATTTCGTGATTTCGTGACTGTGATGTAAAGCTGCTATCCTGAAGTTATTCATGATTTATCATTTATCTCTATAGTATTTCACACTTTCCAAGACAGGGTTGCTGAACGCCACGGCACGTGGAACATGACCGACTCCGAGACGCGCTCGTACTGCCGGCCTGGGCAGTACGGGGCTCGAAAGAGCCAGGAGCTAGCTGAAGCTTTGGGTTAAGGTTTGCGATTCCGGGCTTAAGGGCTGAGGAGATGTCCTCGGAAAAGGCGGCGATGGGATTTGGGGCTTGGATTTAGGCTTGAGCGTGTAACGAAGATTCGGGAAAGGGTGCTGGGAATCCCTGACTCTGGGTGCCCCGGCGAATCCAGCTCGAGGCGTAGTAGTCGAAGTTCACCTGGCGCAGCCGTGAGTGACGGGCGGAAATTGTGAGGTGGAGCATCTACAGGACTCGCAGAAGGGCGGCGACGAAAACGGCGAGGACTACTGTTATGATAGCACTTGCAGCACCACCGCTGCTGTTGCTGCTGCTTCCACCGGTGCTGCTAATCCCAGCGTCAGGCTTCCACGTCCTGCTGCAGACCGGGAAGTGAAGAATGCTACAGGTGTAAGAATGGGCCGTGAAGGATGCTGCTGTTGGCATCAGGAGGCAACACACACCGACCACACTAAAACACAACAGGGAAAGCCCCGACCGTCCGAAGCAAGGCGCTGCTGCTGCCGCTGCTGCTGTTGTTGCTGCTGCCGATCTCCCGCCCCCCTTCCCCTGGCAACTGCTAGTGAACACTATATACCAGGACTAGGAATGCGAATAAGAGCAGTGAAAGCAGGATGCTGACCCAAAAAAATCCAAATCCAACGCTAGATTGGTCTGGAGGCGGCAGCTTGGAGCACGTTCACCAGGGACAGGAAGGCCATGGAGAGGAGAATAGACAGCTGCAGCTTCGAGTACAGAAGACCTCTGGTTGATGCTGTATACCTAAACCCTGAACCCTAAACCCCAGACCCTAAACCCCCAAACCCTAAACCCCTAAACCCTGACCCTAAACCCATAGGCTTATATCAAGGTGCAAGGGTTGAGGACTTCGGATTGCTGGTTCCGGGCTCTGAGATTACTATAGGGGCGCTACGAATTAGAATAGGGTTTTGGGGCCCATTTTACTGTAATTATATACTAAGGAACCCGCACTTTTAGTATAGGTAACTATCAAGTGGCCCCTATATTACATGAGACTACATGAGAGGTTGAGTGAGGGTCGAGCTGAGGATCTGCCGATTTTCGGGTTTCACGCTTTGCTGTTCGCTTGCGGGGCTGGACGGGCTCATGACCATGTTGGAACCCAAATCCCTAAACCCAAACCGTGTCGGAACATGTTGCACAGGGGTTGACCTAAATGGCAGGTCTGCGATTCGATTAGTCACAGAAGCATGAAAAATTTCGACTACTCAGCGCAGAGGGCCTCTGGGGAGCTTCCATGAAGATTTCGGCTTTGAGGGGGCACAGGAGGTCGAAAGTTCTAGGGTCTAGGGCTTTAGGGTTTAGGGCTTAGGGTTCTCGCTTCGGGGTTGGGCCCTCTTGCGGGCTTCATCCCGGAAGCCCCAAATGCTGCAGCTTTAAGTAGTGCTGGGAAGATGCTGACATAGCCGTCTACATCTACAACTTCACTTGCAAGGTCGATTCCGTTCTGCATGAGCCTGGATCAATGCCTCCCAAAAACACAAACCTGAAAACCTTGAGGCATTCCAAGTGCATCTGAAACGCAGGTGGATGCATAGAGCAGCACCATGATCCGGGGCACATTCGTCACCAGCATTACCTGGAACTGTTTGCGAATCCGCGTGGAAACTTGCTGGGATTTTCAGGCAACGCTCAGTGGCGCCGCTTCTTCATCCGGGCACATCCTCTACAATGATGACAACATTCAGCCGAACACACCCTAGCATGAGCTTCCTGTTGCTGCTGATGTTCTTAAGGAAGGTTAACTGCTACTCATACTGGTACTGGTCTGAGCACCAGTAGTAGAAAGAGAGAGGTGCAGCAGCGGCAGTAAAAAGTCATAGGACATCGATATCATCATCAAGGCTGTCTGCATCTTCATGTACTACTACTTACTACTACGTACTGTATCATCGCCGCTTGGCATCCGCATCATCACCGAAATCATCACCACCACACCCACTGCCTCGCAGGGCCTAATCATGACCGCCGGCATCATGATTCGCACCATCACCATCATGGCCACCACAACCATCATCACCACCATATCGTCATCAGCACCATCATCAGCACCATCATGATCACCATCATCCTCTTCATCACAATCACCACCATCATGACCAACGTTAACCTCCTCTTCGTCTTCATCTTCAACAACATGTTCGTCATCCTTAGCATCATCTCCATCACATCATCACCCTCACCATTCTCACCATCATCACCAATAACAGGCATTACCATCACCATCATCATCTTCTTGTGCATCATCACCATCCTCCTCATCGCTATCATCCACCATCGGTCGTACTAGGTATCTTGCGACTTCACCGCCCCGCCCCAACTCTGCACACAAGTGACATGGCTATCAAAGCGGGCCGAATCTGTGGCGCTGGGCTCCTTCCGTGGAATGTGGGGGGGGGGGCGGGGCGCACTTCAAGACGTTCTAGAAGCGTTCTTTGGGTGTTGTAGCGAGTCCGTGCAGGTATTGGTTCCTGTCATAACTCCTCTACACTTCGGACCCTGTCCATTTAGCAGGTATTAGGGTGTAGTGGCCTAAGGTTCAGGGTTTGAGGGCCTTAAGAGTTTAGGGGCCCTTTAGGATTTTAGACTTTAGTGTCCTTCTCGCATACTTGTCACAACTGCTTTCTGGGAAAAAGCAACGTGGCAGGCATCTTGGTTAATGATGGACAAAGATGAGCAAATTGGGCTATTTACTCCGCTAGGAAAGCCGTGGAGTACATTGAACTCCACACCCTAAACCCTTATAGACTTATAGTAACCCTCACAGGAACCCATATAGAACCGAACCCTAAACCTACCCCAGACCGTCAAAAGCGGAGCTGAGGATTAGACTGCAGGGCTTCTGGCGGTCTGGGGGTTCGCGCAGCCATCTCCAGGAAATCAGCCGAATAGGAAGTTTAGAGTTTGGCGGGACCCCCCCCCGTCCAGGGGACTTCATAATGGAACAGGGTTTTTTGTACTTACTCTTACTCTTACTAGTACGTTAATTAGTATTATTATTATATTCTTATTCTTATTATTATTATTATTACTATTATTATTATTATTCTTCTTATTATTATTATTATTAAAATAGTCATTAAACAGATCAACAGGACTTCTGAGGCTCCTCGATCTCGTCGACCAAGGATGGGCGCATCCCACGCTGCTTCCAGCACTGGCGCGCGCCTCGGCGAAACGTAGGTGGCGAGGGTACGGAATCGTTTAGGGTTTAGGGGTTAGGGTTGGGGGTTTAGGGTTGGGGTTTAGGGTTTTTTTGGGGGGGTTTGGGTTCAGGGTTTGGGGTTTTGGATTTAGGGTTCAGGGTCGTAGAGCATCGTGGGTTTAGGGATCAGGGTTTGGGAATTAGGGTTCCGAGCAGCTTAGAGTTGGGGCCTTAGGGTCAAGCTTGAAGGCTGGCAACAGCAGAACCAGGGTCTTGATGATGAACGACCGCATCATCAGACTGACGTTGGTACTCGAAACACGTCTGAATCCGCATTAAAGTCATGAGGTTCAGCAGTTTAGGGTTGGAGGTCAAGGTTTACGGGTTTAGAGTTTCCTCAGCTTGGAGATTACTATAGGGGCCTTTATAACTGCCTATACTAGTTTGGGGTTCCTAATTATAATAATTATAGCATAATGGGCCCCCAAACCCTATTCTAATTATTAAGGCCCCTATAGAAGGTTTGGAGGAAGCCTTCTGGGCTCAGCATGATGAAGACTCGGGGCTCGGGGCTTGGATTGCACGGAGCTTGGAAGGGGCAGTCCAGCCCTCATAAGATCTCCTAAGATGAGAACAGTGAATGCTACAACCAACACCCGAAATCCAAAATCCATGGAGCCTCTGCAAAGCCGAGGCTGTGAGCAACTGAAGTTTAGGGCATGGAAGTCTGTTGCGGATTCGTGCTTTGGGTTTTGGGGTTCAGGATTTGCTGTTTCAGGGTTTTGGGCTTTCTGAGCTCTGATAGTTCTCTTGGTGCTTACTTGGGGGGTCGGGGGACTTAGTAAGTAGTTAGTAAGTAGACTTATAAGTACCCTAAAAGGGGCCCTAACTGGGGTTAAGGTACTTATAAGCCCCTAAAATAACCAGTTACTAAGTCCCCCGACCCTCCAAGTAGGATTCCAGGATTCCTGAGAACAAGGAATGGACCTGGGTCCCCTGCGGACTACCGGCAGGCAGCTCAGCAATCCGAAAACGGCAAAGACGATGTACTTGAAGAACCATGCTTTCCTGGAGGGTTTAGGGGTTTAGGGGTTTAGGGTTTAGGGCTCCGGCTGGTCTGTCTATAAGCTTCAGGGCTTAGGATTGACTATGAGGGTTGCTGTAAAAGCCACTAAACGTTCAAAAGGGCACTTGGAGCTTTGGGGCTGGTCTTGTACAGCGCCTTTAACGGCTAGAACAAAGTCTGGCAGGCTAGATCATAGTATATAGAACCGTACAGGGACTACTAGGGGACGCTGCTGCTAGTTCTTTAGTCAGACCTCCATAGCCTGCAAGGTTCAGGGTTTAGGGCATATGGCTCAGGGATGAGGATTCGCTGTGCATCTTGAAGGACATGGCGATGCACTCCCGCTACACGTAGTAGCTTGAAAGAACTTGTAATGTTGACCGTGGCAGAAGATTGTTCATCCTGCTCATAGAATGCAACGGCTGCTACGGTAACGGCAGTGGAAGTGGCGCTTCAAGCAGTCGTGGTCATCGCCACAGGATCTCATTTAAGCACTGACATTATAGCCCTGACGGCCCGCAACCCAAAGCTCTGAATCCTGATCAAACGCACGACCCTTGAACCCAAGCTCCGAGCCCTATATCCTAAACCCCCAATTATCCCTACACCCGTAACCCTTTAAATCCTTTGCCCTGAGCCAGTGCCCGCCGGGGTGCAACGGCGAGTGCCGGCGCAGGGTGAAGAGGTTTCGGCGGAAGGCCCAGTCGCGGCTGATCAGCTCAACCTCCCCGCGGCCAACTCTGGGTTATTTCGGGCTTATAGAGTTTAGGGTTTGGGGTTCAGCTTCTTTTAAGGCGGGGGGTGGTCTAGACATTGCACTAGCCACTCTGGGCTCTCAGCAAGTGAAACCAAAACCACAACACCAAGCTCTAGAATTTAGCGTTTAGGGTTCACCGTAGTGTTCTCCTATAACGTATCCACAAAGATCCACAAAGGATTCGTGGAGCCTCTGGGGCGCTCGGTGCAAACAATCAAGCAAGAGAGAGACCGTGGGTGCTGCAAGCGATCACTGCAGTCTACCAAAGCGTGTGGGTTTCAGCGCTATTGCTTGTCGTGTGAAGCTGCTGTGGCGCCCTAGAAGTCGAGGGTTTGGGGCCTTTGGGGATCTACGGCAGTAGATAGATCGACGGCTGTGTTTTTCAGACATCGAAGGCAGCAGCCGTTTGTCCGACCCGTTGAAGCCGCGTGCTTCAGCAGTCGGGTTCTGGGCTGTCTGCCTTGGGCTTACGGTTTCTGTATAGTGCTTGGTCAGTCAAAGTTTTAGGGTATGGGATACCGGTGCTGCATGAATTCTTGCTTACTTTCTCCGTCTCAGCTGCTAACCCTTGGGTACGGCCCCCATACAGAAACAGTCTTTTTTTGCTGGGAGCAGTACCCAAGCTAAACCCCATCCGGCCTCCATGCCAACCAGCAGTAGGTGCGGCAGTGAGAGGAGAAAGCAGATGCCCCTCGGAGCTGCTAAATATAGGGTCTCCTTAAGAATTAGAATAAGGGGTTGTGGGGGGGGGGGGGGGTGTAGTATACTATAGTTAAAAAGAGTGCTAAATATAGGGTCCTTTGAATAGGGTTTTTTTGGGGTATATTATACTATGGTTATCGGTTATAAGAGGGAACACCCAAAATAGTACTGGTGAGTATATAGGCCCCGCTGTTCATGAAAAGAGCTTTTGGTGGTTTCAGGTTTGAAGCGCTGTGGGGTTTAGGGCTACAGTAGAGGCCTAAAAGTTGGAAACCCAATAGCCTTCAATCCTTAAGAGTCATGTATAGGGAATCCCAGCACTATTTGACTTTAATCCGGTTTATGGGGTTTACTGTATTAGAGGTTGGGAATGGTGGTTGCCCTCTTTCTCTTGCCACCCCTGCGACTTCGCACGAGACCGAAGGATTTCGCTTTGATGGAACTTGCCACCTGCGAGTGTTGACAGTCGAAGGCCCCGCAAACATGTCAATGGCAACAAAAAAAACGCAGTGATGGTAGCAATTACTGAAAATCCGGCCTTACAACAAGCGAGACCAGCACAACAGGAATGGCGGCAGTAAGCATGACATTTCAACAAAGCCAGCCGTAGTAGCAAAACAGCTTGAGACCAGCATGAAAGGCAAAAGCCATAAAGAATGTTGCTGACAGCTGGTACTTACAAAACAGATTCTGGTCAACATGCGAACACGGACGGTAATCATCACAGTAGTTCCGACGACAACCACCATCGTTACTTTTTTAATCATCATCTTCTTCGCCATCAACCGCCATCATCTTCCTCACCATCCTCTTCTTCGTCATCTTCATATTCATCTTAAGCTGCAGCTTCGTCTTCATCATCATATTCATCATCATCCTCAACATCATAATTTTCACCACCTGCTTCTCCATCTTCGTCATCATCGGCATCGGTGCAAAGAGGCAAGATGACGTCACATGTGGCTGCCCTCTCCAGTGCCACGATCCAAGAAACAACTAGGCTAATATGGGCACCTAGCATCGTAGCAGAATGTAGACCAAACCTCTTCACTGACCCCCCCCCATCAATGCTGGCAGCGAGCCAATCACCTCTGGCTACGCAGAGGCAGAGGCCTCGGATTTTGACATGCTGCAAACACGCAGGGATGAAGGGGCCAAGAGTCTAGTATGGAGTGAGGACTCTGCAGGATACAACGCAACACCGAAGCCCCTACAAAAGTGGCAAGCAAGTGACTCAACGCATTCTTTAGTCCCTCAATGAAGTGCTGGCGGGGCTGCAGAAATTGCTGACCCACATCTCCAAGAAGAAGAAACACCATGACCAACAACGCCTTGGAGAGGTCGCAAAAGCAATGAGGGCAGAAGCGTGCCCAAGGAATTCGGATTCGGAGCTTGATTGACATGGGCGCCTATCAGCTTGAGCCGAGGTTTTTGCGATTTCGGCAACCGCCTTGAGAATAATGAACTAGCACATGCCACTGTCGTGCCCCCAGGGCCCGCCAACTCGAATTGTATCAGCCACTTCTGGCCGGTAGCTGTAGTGGGGTGTGGAAAATGCTGGCTTTTAGTCCTAAATGTAACATTCAGGATATCGTCATCACGTACTAGTGGTAGTGATATCGTGGGGGTATCGCGATCACCGTGCTGTCAAAACACCAGCATGCAAGAAAGCCGCTTACAAATACGTACGCTGCCTCTGAGCTCGATAATGACTAGGTTCCCAGTGGACAGACCCAGCACAACGCAGTCACCCATGCCAGAGGGATAGTCACAACGGAACCATACCACTGAACTATAAAGAAACCACGCCACAATCTTAACAGCCAAAGAGATATGGGTCTTGCTTGCTTGTGGTACATATGGGAGTTTCCGAGAATAGGGGACCCTAATATAGCACCCTAAACAGTAGGATCCTTGTAGGGACCCCCAAAACAAGGTACCCCTAATATTCGGAAACTCCCATATGGAGCCCTTTAAGGAACCCTTATAGCACCCTTTTAGTAACCCTTTAAAGGAACCATAAGGGGCTTATGGCTTCGGGTGTCCCGAACGGTACAACTCAACTTATCCACAAGACTGCGGAGGAAGCCCGTGAAGCTTCGCAGTCTGTATTCTTGGAGGTTCATGGGTAGTTATAAGTAGGGGCTTTTAGGGGCCCTTTAAAAGGGATCTATAGGGATTCTATAAGGGTATAGGGTTTAGGGTTCATGGGTAGTTATAAGTAGGGTTATATGTCCCCTAATATGGGTTATAAGTACAGTGACCCTACTTATAACTCTACTTATAACTACCCATGAACCTCCAAGTTCTGCCAAAGCACAGGAGGTTGGGATCCACCAAAACATCCGCGTCGCAGCTCACACCGACCTGCAGACGATTCAACCATGGTTTAGTAGACGGGATGCTGCTAGTCATCCGAAGTGGTAATACTAGGATTCGTCTTAACACAGATGACCAAAAACAGTTTTGCGCACGTTGCATACTATGAAGTGCATTGTAGGGCTCCATGGATCGTTTGTTGCGTTAGTAGTGGTAGTAGGAAGTGTCTTCCTGGTTCCTTCTCGCATCTTCTCGTTATGTAAATGCATGTGTCACGGTATACTGGCATACATACATTCATACCTAACTACATACAGACGTGCATACATACGCACATACATACATGCATACATACTTCCATCCACACATGCATTCATGCACCTATGTGTGTGTACGCATATGTTTGTATGTGTACATCTATATATATATATATATATATATATATATATATACATGTGCCTGTAAAGTACGTAGGTAGGTATGTGTCTGTGCATGTATGTGTTCCAGTGTATGTGGGTATGTGTGAATGTGTGGATGTCTATGAATGTGTTGATGTGTGTAGGCCGACCGGTAGATAGGTAGATGGGTCGATAGGCAGATAGGTAGACATTGAGATAGGCAGAAAGTTTAGTAGATAGGTAGATGGGGAGATACGTATATAGATAGTTAAACCGTAGATATAGGTAGTCAGCGAGGTAGGTAGGTAGGTAGGTAGGAAGGTAGGTAGGTGGACAGGTAGGTAGGTAGGTCGGTGGGTGAGTGGGCAGGGAGGTGGGTGGGTAGGGAGGTGGGCGGGTACGCACAAAGGAGGCAGCAGTGGAGGTAGGCAGGGTTATGTATTTATGCAGTGTAGACTATGCAGGTTACGTAGGTTGTGTAGGATTTTATGTAGAGGTACGTAGCTTGTGAAGGCATGTGGTCGGTCTATGTTGTACCTGCTATGCTGTGTTGTTCGGTGCTTTGTTGTGGTTTGTTACGCTGTGTTATGATATGTACATCCGAGAAATGCGTCTTCTCCATTCATTTACATGCTACATGCTTTGGCGGCAGTACGGCATCCTGTACCACACAGCAATGCAAGCAGGGAATGCGCATGTATTCTCATTCACAGACCATAGGCCAAAGCGTACCATGGCAACCTGGAGAAAGTACCCACCTTACCCACATGGACCATGTTCTACATTATGCTTAAACTACACGATATAGGTGCCAGTATTCGCAGAGATCCTCGAACCTCACTACCCTTGCATCGGATCCCCCCACTCCAGCCTCGATATGGCTCGGTGTGGTCTGCCGGCCGAAATTATCCTGGTCCGGGTTCAGGGCTGAGGAGCCCAAGCCCAGAACCCGAGGGTTTAGGGTTTAGGGTTTTGGGTTTAGGGTTTATGGCATTTTTAAAAGGGGATAATGCTGAGATTACCGAATTGAGGGGTTACTAAGGGTTTTGCCAAGCTTTCAACTCAGTGTCGGTGACACACCCTGCATGCGTTCCAGGACGGAAACGCACAACGGGTCCAAAGTATCAGTGAACGTTTTGCTGACCGTCCATGGCGCGCCAAACCCGAGACAAACTGAACCCCCCAACCAACTAACCCCCCCAAAAGTAGGTAAAATAATGGCCCAAAACCTATAAAAGGCTAGTATTCAACATACCTTTTGGGGTCCAGGTAACCCCCCCCAGGTCGCCTGACCTGAATCCCCTAATTCAAAACCCCCCCCCCCCCCCCCCCCCCCCAACTCCTCAACCCAAAACCTAGGGTTTAGGGTTCAGTAGGGTTTAGGGTTTATGAGTGTCTTAGGGTTTAGGGTTATGAGGGTCTTAGGGTTTAGGGTTTATGAGGGTCTTAGGGTTTAGGCCCCGAGTTTGCGGCGACAGCTTGGCAATCCTCGCCCAGCTCAGCACCGACTCCGCAGCTCTCAGAGGAAGACGCCAAGGCATCCCACTCCTGCAGGTTTACTATAAAGGCCTTAATAATCCGCCGAGGCCTGGGGGTTAGCTCAGCACCTAATCCTCCTCCCTGCGGTCCAAATGTTTGGGGACACCCGTTTTTTGCGTTCGTTTGCCACCCCCTTGCCCGGCTTCCCTTCATTTTACCTGATTTGTTGGCCCTCACAGGCCCCTCCCCCCCCCTTCCGCCCCCTCCCGCCCCCTCCCACCCTTCGGCCCCCTCCGCCCCCCCCCCCTCCCCCCCCCCTTCCCCCCCCCTCCCACCCCTCCCCCCCCCCCTTCCCCCCCCTTCCGCCCCTTCCCCTCCCTTCCCCTCCCGAATCTCCGCCTTCTCCCCGGCCCCCACTTCTCCCGTGCCTGCCCGGTGCCTTGTGGGCTTAAACTCTTGCTTCAATTTGCTTTTCCTTGTGTGCAGGCTCCTTCCGTCTTGTCCTTTCCTGTTTGTTTGGAGGAAAAGAAGCACCCCCCCCCCCCCCCCCCCCCCCCCCCCCCCCCCCCCCCCCCCCCCCCCCCCCCCCCCCTCCCCTACCCGTTCTCCTCGCACTTCGTATCAACAACCGTGTAAAGGTTGGGGTTTGACAGGCCGCCCTAGCATAAAAAAACATCGACTGCCCCCTCGCCCTGCCGCTACACAGCCGAGGCGGGCGGCGTAGCGTTAAAATTAGAATAGGGTTTTGGGGCCCATTATACGATAATTATACTAAGGAACCCAAAATAGTGTAGGCAATTACTGAAGCCCCTATATTACGCTTCACGGGTTTAGGGTTCAAGGTTTGGGGTTCGGGGTTTGGGGCCGTAGGCTGTGGCTTTAGGCCAAGCTTTTGCGAAAGAAACCTCGTGAGACACGGCTCTCAGAACGTGAGCATAATGTAGAAAATAATAAGGAACCCAAAGAAGGTAGCTGCAGGTAAACCCTGAACCCTACACCCCGAACCCGAAACCGTGAACCCCTCAGTTGGCGGCCCGAGAAAGCGCAGGTCCTTCGACTCTGCGATGATGTTGAGGCTTCGCCTTTGAGGCAGAGTCACCATTTAGGTTTCGTTTAGGGGTTTAGGGGTTTAGGGTCAGGGGGGTACGGGTTCAGGGTCTAGGGTGTAGGGGTTCTTGGAGCAAGATGGAACCCTTCCCAAAAAATAGCATCTGCTCCAGTTTCTGGGGCTTCTTGGCTTCGTAAGCCCCGAACCGTAGGCTTCAAGGGCTGCCTCAAGCTTAAGATCCACAAACCCGAAGCCCTAGACCCTAAACCCTGAACCCTGGGCCCTAAACCCTAAACCCTGCACCCCCGGCGGAGGCCTCTGGAAACAGCTTGACGCGACTGAGGAGGCGAACTCATGCGACACGACAATCGGCAGCTTTTCCTGATGCTGGCTGAATTTAGCGATGGTTGGCTCCGCAATGCCGGCAATGCCCGTACACCTTTTGGGAACTTCAAGCTGCAAAACGCAATGCGTGGGCATCGACATCAGCCATCCCAAAGGCCTTCTAAGAAGCCAGCGTCACCATAGCCCCTGACATACACCGTAAACTCCCTCCTGAAGATCATGACATCGCTTGTGAATCCTGAACAACCCCGTCCTGGACCGCTTCGCCGTAGACCTTTGCCTCTTTGGGTGCGCCAATGAAAAAGCGCGGGTCCTTCAGACAAGCATACTCAGCTCAGGAACGCCATGCTTCCCAATACACGCAAAGAGAGAGAGAGAGAGAGAGAGAGAGAGAAAAAAAAAAGAGAGAGAGAGAGAGAGCACATTGAGTATATACATGATGGCTTCTTCAGCATAGAAGGCCCCTATTCGGCGCGACATTGCTGCGATCAGATCCCGGTGCAGGCCCGGAGCCCCTGGGCCCTTGCCAATAACCCCCGTGCCCGACTACTACTGCCTGGGCCGACCTAGGGCGTTGGGGGGGGGACCATACTCTGCCTACAATTGCTGGCGGCATTGGGGCTATGCAGCTGGCAGCACCCTCTCGCAGCCGTGTGAACCTGATATTCTGCGCCCTTAACCCTGGCAGTCACGTTCACCATCCTCGTGTCATCATTATCATCGTCACCACCATCATTACTAAGCAGCAACAGCAACAGCCTCCTGATCCTTGTCGTCGTCGACGTCTTCATAGTCTTAACATCATGGTCATTGTGCAAATCACAAGAGTCTCCATTGCAGCACAATGCCGGTCTCCTGTACCACGGTGGAGTCTTCAGTACTCGCGCTGGAGGCAGCCACATGGATGGTGTAGTTCACGGTCTCCTGTTCCAAGTACCCTACTTCCTAAGGCCGAGAACTGATTCCTCGAGACACAGACACCTGAACCTCATCTAGTTGTTCATTGTTGGGATAGGACTTAAAATGAACATTTTTATTCCTTATTGGGTTTAAGTTTCCATAAAACTGTAAAATGTTACCCAACTATGACAAAATCTAGTTGTTCAGGGCTTAGGCTCTGGCCCCAAATCTTCTTTTCGCCGCAGACAGCGATGCTAAGCATGAACGCAGGTGGTTCGTTGGCTGTTGGATCCGTGCTTCCTTTGGGCGGACATGGGTCCTCACGGAATTCTTTACCAACCTGTCGATAGCTGTGTGAAGGCCGCCGAACAAGACCCCCGCATGCTCAGTTTTCTATGGTTGTGACCGCCAATGCCATGACGGCCATGATGAGGAGGAGGAGGAGCAGGAGGAGGAGGAGGAGGAGGAGGAGGATGCTGCGAATGGGGCGGAGGTGGACGATAAATCAGGAAAGGCTTCTGGAGTCGAGTAGTCAGGCACCCTTCAGACTCAAACATGCTCATTTTTCTTGAACCCGATAGTAACGCTGCCCCGAAATCATGCACAGCCCCCTACACCCTAAACCCTAAACCCTACACCCTAAACCCTAAACCCTAAAGCCCCCTACACCCTAAACCCTGAGACCCACCTGACTCTCCGCATCTGGCATCCGGCCGCTGGTCGACTGAAGGGACGGCTCTCCGAGCTTCGGCTCCAGGGTTCCGAAAATCAAGGGCCCCTTTGTAGAGCTACCTAAAATCTTTATTATAGTAGCGCCACATTCCGAAAATTAGGGGTACCTCATTTTGTGGCTCCTTATAGTAAGGATGCTACTATTTAGGGTACGATATTAGGGTCCCAAATTTTTGGGCAACTCCTACATTAGTGGAGGTGCACTACGCATTCCGGCTGGACGGCGTGGACAGTGGTGGGGCCTGTTTAGCACTTGGGCTGCGGGCTGACATTGTGCGGTCTCTGACTCTGCAATCTTGTGTCCGTGCATAACCTCACTGCCACTCATCTCTTTTGCCCATCCTGCATTACCTAAAGGACCCTGAATTATGGGAATTGTGGTATATTCCTTATTGTATGGGTAATGCAGGATTTATATCATCAACCGTCACTGGTCTGCTAACCTGGACGACCCTATCTTCGACTGCACTACGCGATGCTTGACATGACATCTCAGCCATCCCAAACCCTTTATGCTGTCTGGTTCTTAGTAGGGAATGGGGGAATGGGTTATGGGGACTATTACTTATTGGGGATCATATACGGACTACTCTAGCGATCCATTCCCCCCATTCCCTACTGAGAACCAGACAGTTCAGACAGTCGTGGAAACCTTATAAGGGCTAGTGGACCTGCACTACACAATTGTTCTCTACATTCAAGCCCTACGACCCTAAAACCCCAAACCCCTACCTTCATCCTTTGCGCCCTATAGCCCTACCGTAAGTAGCCTCATAGATGCTGTTGAAGGATCCCTTAAACAAAGGCTTCTATCCTGAGAGGCCCGGTTGGTTCAGAGTTGGGGGCCTCCTGCTCTGCAGCAGCGACCAAGCCAAGCAGAGGCCCTTGGAGCTTGCTGGGAACACCTGGAGCAGTTTAGCTTTCAACCGTTCAAGATTTAGGGTTCCAGGGTTTAGGGTTTTAGGTGTAGGGCTTCAGGGCTTTAAGGGTTTAGGGTTTGGGGCTTGGGGTTCAGGGCTTCGGGTTTATGATTTCGGGGTTAAGGGCGAGGTTTACGGGTTGAGAGGCTGGGAGTGTGAAGGGTGTGAGAGCTTGAAGCGTTAAGGGGTTAGGGTGCGGGGTTTAAGGCTTAAGGTTTAAGGGTTGGGGGTTAGGATGCGTACCCCTTCTTGGAGTGGCGATTCTGACCGAGGAGCTGAAGCCATGTTCGGGTCCGTGACTGTACTAAAGGGGCCTTATAATTAGAGTAGGGTTTTGGGGTCATTTTTGTATGTTATAGTTATAGTAAGGATCCTCCGAAATAGGATAGGCCATTATTTGGGCCCTTATATTACAGGTTCTGCTTTAGGGAGCTGGGGGCGCTGCAGGGCTGCACTGATTGAAAGGGCCCTGCACGGCTTCTAGGCTGGATGCTGCCATATGCAGCTTGGCTGAGATGATTAGCTATACTGAAGCTACATGCGTAGTTGCTTCCATAACGCATCTTAGCAAGCCCCTGGCCCATCAATTCCCACAAAGTCACAACAGCCATATAATATACTGAGATCCCTAACCCCTAACATATATTAAACCCGCCCCGAGCAAACCCGACACGAATACGAAGTCCAGTCCGGGGAGCTCAAAGAACCAGAAATTGCCTGGCCTGGGGCGTGCTTCGAGGGAAGCGAAGAGCTCAGGAGGGTCCGAACGAGTTTTGGAAGCTTTGCAGGCTTTGGTGGGGATCTGTCAACCCCTGGGTGGGAATTTAGGCCGAAGGATTCAAGCATGTGAGTTTTTGCCATTGGGGTTGGGTTGAGCGCGCACCAGTTTTCTCGATGTTAGCTTGGATTCAAGAATTTAATCTAGGGGCCTTAATGGTTAGAACAGGGGTTTGGGGGCCCATTATACTATGATCATAATAAGGAAGCACAAACCCCAAAATAGTATAGGTAATTATTTAGGCCCTTACATTAAGAATCGCCAGCTCCTCGGGAATTCCCGTATTGACGGGAGTGTCCAAGCACGACACACACCGCACAAGTCCTCATCACAGATTGGGAGTATTTCACGGTTCAGGATTAGCCCTAAAGCCCCCTCCCAAAGACAATGCACCCTAGACCTTACACCGACTTACACCCTTAGCCCAAAATCCTAAACCCCAAACCCAAAACCGTACACTCTAAGCCGTTTCAGGCCGCAACGGCTCTTCGTGGGAAGTGGGCTCATTCGGGCAATGGTGGCCTGGAAACGTTGGAAGCTGCTAAAATGCCGTACCCCCCTGCGCAGTTGACAAAACGATATATGGAACACACATGGAGAAAGAAACAGAAGTTAAACAGCTTAGCATCTTCATGACAGTGAACTCCACATGTCCGACACAAGCCAGGATTTGACAGTTGACTGCGCTGCCTTTCTGCTTCAAACACCGTCAACGCCCCCCTCGCTGCCATCTGGGAAAACAAACTCCCAATCCCCAAAGACCGCTTATCTCTGCTAGGACATACGCTATTCTCAAAAGCTCCCGGGTGGGACTGTCGGGCGGCTGTCCCCGAGTCCCAGCATGGACTCAACACTGGAGCGCCGACGTCTGGAAGTGCCTTAGAAACGGAGCCATGGCAGCCCTCTGCAGAAGCGTGATGTAACTTCACATCTTGACATTTTGGAAAAGGATTTTGGGCTTTTGCAGCGTTAGACTAACCAAAGCAAAGTACACTGAATACATTGTTCAAAAGTCTCTATTTGTTTAAGTTTCTGCTGGTGTCCGTGATCACATTCCACAATAGAAAGGTGTTCAACAACTGAGTCCATGATCTCTACCATGGGAGCTTCCGAAAATTGGGGGGGGGTACCTTTTTTTGGGGTCCTTGTAATAAGGGTCCTATTGGTCCTATTACTTAATATACTACATTCAGGTCCCCTATTTTTCGCAAACTCCCATCTCTACATCAACCTCTGAATCCTTGTCCCAGGAGCTCTCACAGCTGACTCCCAGCAACTCGGCACCCGGTCGCCGCGTCCTACATCGACTGTAGGGTTTAGGGCTGAGGGTTTAGAGGGCTTAGAGGGTTTAGGGTTTAGGGGGTTAAGAGGTTTATAAGGGGGTTTAGAGGGTTTAGGGATCTGGGTGTGGCTTTGAAGATCAGAAGTTAGGGTTGACTGTGCTGCTGTAAGCTTCTTTACATGTTCTAATCTACTTGGTTGTGCTGTTGTGCTTGTTGGTGGCTTTCTGCAACACTTCCTTCAAGGACATGGTGCGAGTCTTCAGTTTGCAGACCTGCAGAACTTGCAAATAGGGGACCCTAATATCGTACCCTAAGTATAGGATCCTTCTTAAAGGGACCCAAAATAGGGCACCCCTAACCTCTGTGTTTGGTTGGAGCTGGCCTTCTGGGCGAGGATGGCGTCGCAGGAGGTCCTGGCTTTGCCGCACTGCCGGCTCGCAGGGCTCCAGTTTCCGCGCTCAGGCTCCGGGAGAATCGAATTTGAGAACTTGGAGGCTCATGGGGTAGTTACAAGTAGAGTTATGTTATAAGTAGGGTAACTGTACTTATAACCCATATTCGGGGACTTATAACCCTGCTTATAACTACTCCAAGAAGGACCGAATCGAACTCGGAGGAACTGCGCGCCGGCCTGCTTCCAAATCGTGTGGGCTCGAGCTTTTCGCGCGTGCCTGCAAGACGGAACAGGCTCAAAGGGCGCCTGCTTGACTTTATGTAAGGCTGCTGGAAGAGTTCCAGGGACAGCTGTTTTCTCAGACGACCCCTTCAGGTTCTGAAAGTGCGTATGGACAAAAAACTGCACCTTGAACCTTGCAACAACGGCCTGTTGAGTTTCAAACACAACTCCATTCTTGGAAACCCAGCGCCTAGGGGCATGCCTCTCCTGTCACATGTTCTATGGAATTTTAGTGGAGCCTTACCCCCCAAAATAGGGCTTATAGGAGTTTATAGGGCTTAGGGGTTTAACGAAAAGGGCCAAGTGGACCTCCCAACACCCAGATGCTCCGGAAGGGCCTCGGGTATATCGTCCTCATCCTCTTCCTCGTCCTCCTCCAGGCCATCCAGGTCCAAATCCAGGCCTCTCAGCATCAGAAGTCTCAGTTTCCGGGCTCTCTCCGGCCCGGATTCTTCATGCCAGGCTTGTCGGGATCAGAGCTCTGAGTTCAAGGGCTCAGAGCTGGGATTCGGGGTTCATACCCTCTCGCATCCCGGCCGGGCCTTCTGCCTTGTCCTCCGGAACCTGAAGGAACTCCTGTAGAACCTGAGTGGCCGATCTGGTTTAAGGGTTCTTTGGAAGTCTCAGCGGGGTTCTAAAGATCCGAAGGGTTGGGGAGTGGGGGAGTTGGATTAAGATTTGGGGTTTACATTGATCTTGTGCTCCCTTTTCCACATCCTTCAGATCCGAGCCTGGCACTTCAGATCTGAGCCTGGACGTACAGACTATGAAACAGATTATATTGCTTGTTTGCGTACATCTATGCATATACGTATATATCTCGGTAATGGCTCTTGAGATTACCACTACCAACTACCAACGCCGCGTCGATGTGGTATGCCATGAAAGAAACTCACAAAAGCCCTAAACCCTAAACTATACAAACCGAAAGGCTGCAAGAAATGAAGTGCAGGCACACACGAGATCCTAGCCGACCGGCTCAATTTAGATAACATAGGGGCTTTAAGAATTAGAACAGGGCTTGGGGGGTATATTATACCTTGATTATAGTAAGGAACCCCATAAATAGTATTGTTAAGTATTTAGGCTTCTATGATAGACCAGCTCAAGGAAAGGTGAACCTTACAACTGCCGAGAGTCTGCCGGGCTTGGCAAGCGCGAAGGGTTGCCAGGGAGTCGTTCCTGGCAACAATTTAAGTTTCTAGTTTAGGGTTCAGGGCTTCGGGTTTAGGGTTTAGGGTTTCTGGTTTATAGCGTTTAGGGTTTCGTTTTGAAGAAAGGCCAGCTGGAGGTGGCAGGGGGGAAGGAGGCACTCTTGTCGTGCGCTATGGATGTATGAAAAGGACCCTGCCAAGAGCTGCTACGGTCACGGATCCATAACAATCAGTCCTTATCAAAGTAGAACTGAATTGCAGTTCGAGCTATGGACTGTCTGGAACAAAGCAGCTGGGATTGTTGCAGACAACTAGCGGTAACGACACCGGACAAAATGCTGGCTAGACCTGGAACTGCTCCCCAAACCGTTGGCTCATGCAGCAGCACCCGAACATAATCAAGATCTTTTGATGTAAATGCGATATCCCATCAATGAGGTTCCTTCGAACAGGAAGTTCACGGTCGGGCTGGGCAGAATCGAGGCAACTCGGAAATCATCTGAGAATACTCCGAGCACGTATTTGAAGAACATTCTTACCTTCTTGTTTTGGCGACTTCTGCGCCTCTTCCTCCACGCTGGTGGCGAAGTCGAGCAGCGCACAGCGCAGGGGGCCTCTCCGTGCCCCGGGGGTCAAACCTGCGCAGCAGACGAAATGTAGGGGACATTCTGGGTATATGAAACAATAAGTACCACAAAAAGACATTGGTAGAGTGGGCTCTCTGTCTAGGTTCAGATGAGATCCTTTTGAAGCTTTGAGGCATGGGGTCCGCGGTTTGCGAGGATACAGCGAGATGCCGCACTAGATTCATCAGTAGTGTTAGACCGTCTGTGCAGGCACAAGGCATGATGAGTCTTTGTGGTTTTATTGAAGGCTTCAGACGAAAGCTTCGTTCAAACCGATGCAATCAGCCTGCGGCCCCAGTACACCCGTCGCCTTCAGCTGGCTCTGCTAGTTCTACATACATAAACGCATGTGTGTGTGTGTATCTATATATATATATATGTACATATACATACACATATTATATACATATACACTATATACACACACATACATATTTTGGAGATTTAAAGCATGAAGCACAACCGCCGGACCCTTCGAAATGCATCTGAGCAGCTCTGCAAGAACGTGCGCACGTTCCTGGGAGACGCGAGGGAAAATGCACTGATCGTAATTACTGTCAACTGGGCCTGGCGGGTTAGACCATTCTCACGGGTATTCCGGCCACTGCCCTGAAAATAGGAAGCATCGTAAAGACACGACAGTAAAACACTGAAATTGCCAACCAAGAACGATGTCAATTTGGGAGTTTCCGAAAATAAGGGGCCCTAATATGGTACCCTAAATAGTAGGATCCTTATTATAAGGGCCCCAAGATAAGGACCCCTAATTTTCGGAAACTCCCATTTTGTTGACAACAGATATCCTAGAAAACATCCACGGCAGATTCAGACCCCATCCCCAGCGTCGACACCAAATCATGTAGGAGCCTAAAAAATACCAATACTAGGATACCCAGTAACCTAAGAATAAAAAGGCCTCTCTTTTTGGTATTGAGTAACTTTATAAGGAACCTAGGACAAAAAGAGAATAAGGGTACTACTGGGCATCCTAGAATACCATTTTGGGGGAGCTCCTTGTAATTATTATGGTTATAGTCTTAGTAGAATCATCCCTCGCGCCGCTGTAGCTATGGCTATAGCTGTTGCGCTGATTTCGTTGCTGTCACTTCTGAAACCGTTGGAAAACAGGGGAAAGGATTGGAGTTATGGTGCAGTGCTGTTGATGGGGTCACGGCGCAGCAACCTCCAACAAGGGTTCCTTTATTTAAGGGCTTCTTGAAGGGCTTCTTTAAGGTTTGCTTTCAGGGTTCCCATTATGTACTTAGCTCCTTGGGGATTCCTTTCAGGCCTTCTTTAAGGGTCGCTTTGGGGGGTTCCTATTAGTAACCAGGGCTTCCGCCGCTCTGAGCCACCGACATGGGCTGCTGGCCGAAGGAGGCGATGCTGTGCTCGGAGGGCGTTTCGTCGCCTCACTCTTGGTGCTTTGGGGGGGAGGGGGTTAGGATTTAGGGTTTGGTTTAGGGTTTAGGGCTTCAGTTTAGGGTTTAGGGTTTATAGGATTTAGGGTTTGGGGCGTTTTCGGTTTTGGCTGCTTTGGGGGGTTTAGGGTTTGGGGCTTCCGTTTAGGGTTTAGGGCTTAGGGCTTGAGGCATGTTCAGAGATTCCTGTTTCCTACACAGATTTTGGCTTCAGGGCCTACTTGGAGGGTCGGGCTTCACACATACAACCACAAGTGAGCACGCAACGATTTATCAGAGTTTAATAAGAAGGTGCTGGTGCGCCCTACACTGGCCCTACACTATACTTGCATGCTTCTGTGGTAAAACTCAAAGGTGTGAACCTGAACCCTTAACCCCTGAACCCTAGATCTAAAAGCGTAACCCTACTTCCCTTTCTCTTCTGCCAAGGCTGGGAGCGGCACCCCCAGAGCAATGCGATGCTTGGGTAGCACAGTAGATGCCTCCCAGGCAGAAGTTGTGGGAGCTTAAGTGCTGGGCATGGGGTCAAGTGTGGGTTTATCGCATCGGGTACGGGGCTATTAAGATAGTATCCTGCAAGCAGAAGAGCCTCCTACCCAAAGCAAGAGAGCCCAAACTCAAGGCCTCAAATTCTTAGACTCCAAACACTACAAGCCTAAATCGTGAACCCTAAGCCCCTGAGCCCAAATCCCACCCCAAACCCCAAGTTCAATATCCCGACGGACTCCCAAAACTTCTTAATTAAGGAAAATGACCTGCAACCACCATAGGGATCCCTCGATGGTCTAAGTGTAGAACCCTTAGAGATCCATTCAAGGAGCTCTTATGGATTCCTTTAAAGGTTGGAAACTCCCACTTCAGCCCCTCAGATCTCCTTTAAAGCCCCTTTCTCTGTCCTAGACCCTAAACCCTAAACCCCACCCTATCCCTAAACCCCAAACCCTAAACCCCCCTTCCTCTGTAGCTGAAAGGGAGGGCCTCGCAGGCCCCGGGCCAGCCGCCCAGGGCTCGGCGAGGTCGGGCAGCCACGCTCACCTTTGAGGGTTTAGGGGATTCGGGTTTAGGGTAGAGGGTTTAGGGGCTAGGGTCTAGGGTTTAAGGGACTTAGGGTTTAGAGGCTTAGGATTTCGGGTTTAGGGTTTAGGGGTTAATGTAGGGGCCTTAACCCTTAATCATTAGAACAGGTGTTTCGGAGCCCATTATAATATGACTTAATAAGGAACCCCAAAGTAGTATGGGTAACTATTTAGGCCCCTACATTAGGGTCTAGTTTAAGGGCTTTAGGACTTAGTTCGGGTTTAGGGCCTACGCTATGCGTTTATGGGTTTACGGTTGAGGGGGCTACCATTCGGGGGTCCACTGTCACGTTCAGGG